TTCATGGGGGTAGGACCCACCAAGCCAGATCACTTGGCTTCCTGGCTTCAGGCGCCTTTTTTTCAGGAGAATGAGCAGTTCTGTCTTGAGGGCATTTCAGGCACCACTGGGGTATGAGAAAAAACCCTGCTGCAGCTACAATGGTTACCCGGTTTTGTGCTGGACACCTGGGGCGCCGGTGGTGTAGGCACTGGTGGGAATCTCTTGGTCTGCCGGTTGTGAAGACCGTGGGAAAAGCACAGTACCTGAGCCAGAGTGCTGAAGTGATCAGAAAAGTCCCTGATGACTTCCCTTGGCTAGGAGAGGGGGTTCTCCAACTCCTTGCACTTCCCGGGTGAGGCAACGCCCCACCCTGCTTCGCTTCGTCCTGCTTGGGCTACTCCCACTGCCTAACCAGTCCCAGGGAGATGAACCTAGTTCCTCAGTTGGAAACATGGAGGATCACTCACTTTCTGCATCGCTGTCGCTGGGAACTGCGGACCGGAGCTGTTCCTATGTTCCTGTTTGGTCATCTTGGTGGAAGTCTCCACCACTGTATTTTGGAAGCACATAATTTGTCTGACTTTACAGGTTCCAAGCTGGATGGGAACTTGAGATACTGTGATTCAGTAGAGACGTGTTCTATTGGCAGCTGGGTCTGAGCTTAGGAGAATGTCAGCAAAAAGGGCTGACCTCAGTAAAATATTTGAAGATATTCATTCTGATCCAAATATGAGTGGCCACTAGCCCATGACACAAGATTCTGAGAATATGCACCCCAAGTGGTTGGACGACACCTTGGTTTTATGTATTTTAGAGAGACACAAGACATCAATTAGAACATGTAAGATTTACATGGCTTTGGTCCAGGAAAATGGAACAACTGAAAGTGGAGGTTTCCAGATCATAGGAAATTCAAAGATTTCCTGATTGGCAATTGTATGAAAGGGTCATTACCTAAAGACCTGGAATCAACAGAAAGATGTCTAGGTTAAAAAAAAAGGTTGTGGTGACCCAGGGTTCAGCACGCAGACGAAGCTGGAGCAGGCCTCAGAGAGAACAGACTGTAAAAGAGTTTCTTCTGTCAGTCTCAAGGTTTCTGTATCGATGTTAATGTTGGTCAGCCGTGCTCAAATTCCAAAAGAGAGGAAGGCACAATGAGACATGTCTGGTCCCTACTTCCCATCATGGCCTGAACTAGTTTTTCAGGTTAACTTTAGGATGCCCTCGGCTGAGAGGAGGGGTCCACACAGATGGTTGGCACAGGGGGTTGGGGAGGGTGGTCAGAGTTTTATTTTTGGGTTATAAGAAAGTTCTGTATTATAGATGTTACCTTTAGCAGTCACCAACATACAAATAGTAAAATAATACCTATCCTTGAAGATAAAGTGACTCTCCTAGGTGAGGGTGCATGTATGCCTATAAAAATTCAGCAGATAAGGTAATGAAGAAAGACCAGGAAGAAGCAGTCAGAGACGTAGAACGGTATCCAAGCAGGAATCCAGTCACAGAAGCCAAAAGAGCAATTACTATAAAGTTTAAAAGAAGAGAGTGAGAGACAGTTCTGGAGAAAGACTGAAAACCTGAGGGCTAAGATTTATGTACTGAATAGGAAACTTGGTTATCTGGAAATCAGATTACAGTGCATTGTACAGTGAATGTGTGTTGAGCTCGGGCAGAGAACGTCTTGGCTATCGTAGAATATGGTAAATTAGAGTGCTGCAAACTCTTTTTGGACATTAGCAGCTCTTCATACTCTGATACAAGAATTTCCAAAGGATTGTAAAACGTTTTGATGAAGACAAAGAATCAAGGGGCTTTTCTCATAACAGCAACTGGATTCCTTGAGTACAAGGGGAGTGGGCAGGAGGGACAGCGGTGTCCGAGTATAGATAATGGCACTTCGCCACCTCTCAGGCAATCCAGGCCCATATTTAGAATGCCAGCAAATCCATTTGGAAACATACACATTTAAAAATGCACAATAATAAACACCACCAACAGAATTGCAGTAAACTGCAGACTTTCAAGATAGCTACGGTTCTGGAAGGATTCGTGTGTGTGTGCGTGTGTGCACGTGTCTGTGTGTGTGTGCATGCGTGTGTGTATGTGTGTGTGCGCGTATGTGTGTGCACACACGTCTTGTGTGTGTGTCTAATATGTCTTTCTAAATAAGAAAAGCAGATGTACTTGTTAGTCTCCTGAATACGTTTCTGTCTTTGAACTGGAATCTTTCAATGCTTTGAATTTTGCTTATGAAGTATGTTGTATGTTTCAATCACATTGGCCTTAGGCATGAAATAAATAAATGCTTGAACTTTTAAAATATGGATTTAATCAAAACCAGACCTGGTCTAAAGCACTGTATAATAAGATTGAGTTGAACTTATGTTGGAGGCTGAATGTTAGAAATTACAATCTATTAAAGGATCTTATGTATAGATCCACCTGAGTAACCTCAGCAGTAAATTCAAATTAATTGTAAATAATACCTTGTAAGCCCTTTTTGTAAGAGTCCCTCTTGTAAAATGTATGAGTTAAAAGGTGCAGTGGAGCAAGTTGGTGGAAGAGAAGCCTACACAGTTTATGCCCCCTGCTGGAGCATCACATTTAAAAACTGTCTGCATGCACAAAAGCACAATCACAAGAACCAAAAATCAGGTCAGCAGTCACAGTACCTGGTTTTAACTTTGTATCATGAAGAAGACAAGAGCAAGTTTCAAATTGCCAACGCCATCCCTCTCCCATTTCTGGCAGCAGCTTGAGGGAATCTCTGAGCACCTGGACAGAAAGTGGGGGACTTCACATTGAACTCGGTGTAGCTCTGTCACAGTGGAGAATAAAGTCATGTGGAAATCAGCCTGCATCTATGCACAGAAGGAAAATTAGGATCCATCCAAGCCAAAGGGGATTCACCCATCCCAGCCATCAGAAATTAAGTTACTCAGCAAGCCTTGCCACCATAGGGTTAAGTGTTCTGAGGTCCTAAGTAAACTTGAAAGGCAGTCTAGGATACAAGGATTGCAATTCCTAGGCAATTCCTAGGGTTAGACTGTTCTTAGAGCCAGGGAACTAGGGTGTCACATGAACTAGGGTGACAGCCTAGTTCCTGGATCTCAGCTCACACAGCTAGAGAAGGGCTTGCTCCATCCCGTCCCAAATTGCAGGCAGTGTAGTTCATAACACTACAAGTGATTCCTTCCTTCTGCTTAAGGAGAAGAGAGTGAGAAGTAAAAAGGACTTTGTCTTGCATTTTGCATACCCGCTCAACCACAGTAGGATAAGGCACCAGGCAGAGTCATGAGGCCCCCATTCCAAGCCCCGTCATTTCTAGAGACACCTGGGCCAAAAGGAAACCTGATAACCCTGAAGGGAAGGACCCAGTCCTGGCAGGAAAAATCACCTGCTGACTAAATTACCCTTGGACCCCGAATAACCGGAAGCTATACTCAGGAAGTACACGATGGGCCTTGGGCTCTGAAATGTGCTGGCTTCCGGCAAGACTCAGCACATGGCAGGGTGGTGACAAAGGTGAAGGAATCCTTCTGCTGAGAAAGCAGGGGAAAAAGTAAATAGGTCTTCATCCTGCACCCTAGATACCAGCTCAGCCACAGTAGGAGAGACCAAGAAGTAGGCTGTTGGGGTTCCGAGTCCAGGTCCAGGCTCTCAGACAGCATTTGTAGACCTGTCTGGGCCAGAGGGGAGCTCACTGCCTTGAAAAATGAGACCCAATGCTTGTAGTATTCACCACCAGCTGATGGATGAACTCTTGGGCGTTAAGCAAACACGGGAGGTGGCCTAAAGAAACCCCTGTAGACCAGGGGAGACGGTGGTCACAGGCAGAGATTTTGCCACATTTAACAGATTTTGGTATGTTGTGTTTTCATTTTTCTTTCAAGAATTTCTTTTTAAATTTTCTTGTTAATCTCTTCACCGACCAACTCCTCAGTCAGGAGCATGTTTTTTAAGTTACTTGTGTTGGTACATTTTCTAAACTTCCTCTTATTTTCTTATTTCATTACATCCTGAGAACGGACTCGATAATATTTTGATTTTTAAAAGTGTGTTTTAAAAAGTGAAACTTGTTGGATGGCCTAACATATAGTCTATCCAGAGAATATTTCATGTGCTAATGAGAATAATGTGCATTCTGCAGCTGTCGGATATCATGTTCTTTAAATGTCTGGTAAGTCCATTCGGTAGGTAGCGCAGATTAAGCCTGATGTTTCTTAGTCAAATTTCTCTCTAGATATCTATCTCATTGCTGAAAAGTGGGTTCTTGAAGTGTCCAACTAGTACTGCCTTGAGGTCTATCTCTCTGGCTGTAATAATGGGTACCTTATATATCCTGTTGGGGCATATATATTTATAATTGGTATATTCTCTTGCTGAATTGAGCCCTTTGTCATAAAATAATGACCATTTTTGTTTTTTTAATTTTCTATGTTTTGCTTAAGGTCTCTGTCTTATATAAATACAGGTACTACTGCGTGCCTTTGGTTTCTGCTTCCCTGGAATTGTAATAATGGGGTTCAGGGTACCGGCAGAGGAAAAAAGCCACTTGCCACGTCAGTTTATTTTATTTTGATTTTTAATTTTTATTTTTGAGATGTAGTTTCGCTCTTGTTACCCAGGCTGCAGTGCAATGGCACGATCTCAACCCACCGCAACCCCCGCCTCCTGGGTTCAGGCAATTCTCCTGCCTCAGCCTCCTGAGTAGCTGGGATTACAGGCACACGCCATCATGCCCAGCTAATTTTTTGTATTTTAGTAGAGACGGGGTTTCACCATGTTGACCAGGATGGTCTCGATCTCTTGACCTCGTGATCCACCCGCCTCGGCCTCCCAAAGTGCTGGGATTACAGGCTTGAGCCACCGCGCCCGGCCTGCCACGTCAGTTGAAAGCCGCGTTCACAGCTGCTGCTGGGCCGCCGTGAGTTCCCCCGAGCCCCGCCCCTTGCCCCCGTGGCTTCCCCCGCCCCCGTGGCTTCCGGTCACTCTGTTGACCCCGCCAGAACCACGTGCGCGCCGAGGCCACTCCCCAGGCTGCTGCCCACACCGGGAGCCGCCGCCAGCAGGTGAACGCCCTGGGGAAGCCTGTTTTAGCCGCTACCTGGGACTGGGGCGCTCCGGGGAGGACTCAAGAATCACGAGCCAGGCTGCCCCGCTCGGCTCTGCGGTCCCTGCGGGCTCCGGCTCGGGCTGCACCCCGCCCTCCCGCTGTTCTCTCCAGCCTGACTGCGGCTGCGCGGCTGCGGGAGGTCCCAGTTCCGGTTCCGGTTCCTGGGGCTGGGCTATTCCCAGCGGCCCAGAGTGAAAGGCCCCACGGGCTTCTGCAGGTTTCGGTTTCGGTCCCAGAGATAATATCCGAAGGATGGAGAAGGAGACAGGAAAGCGGAGAGAGCTGGGAGGTAAAAAGCCTGTGCTTTTCATTCTGGCTGCGCCGGTTCCCCGAGGCCCTGCCTGGCTGCACCTGCCGCGGCTCTTCCTCAACGGAGGACGGAATGGGGCCCTTTTACTCACGATTTGCACGTCTGCTTCTCCAGCTGTACCTCCTTCCTGGCTGAACCCCTCTTCTGTACCCCTTTTTCTGCTGTACCCCTCTCCTGGCTGGCTCACCTGAATGTAGTATTGGGGTTCAGGGGTTCAGGGTGCCCTCAGCTCCCCTGAGAGGACGTTTCTCCAGGTTCTTGGTGTCCTGCCCTCCCAAGAATGAGACGGGACCACCGCGCAGTGCGCAGTAAATGCCAGACTCAGAAGTGTTTGTAGATTTATTTAGAGAAACAGGAGAAGGAGAGAGAAGGAAACAGCTGACGCCCACACTGAGTGAGAATCCAGAAAGACGGACTCCAGGAGAGAGAGCGTCAGGGACTAGGGAGCCGCTTCCACGAGAACGTCAGGGACTAGGGAGACGGAGTTTAGGGGAAGACAGGCTCCCATGAGGGCGTGGAAGGGGGCTCCAGAGGGAATCCGGGAGAGAGAAACATGGTTCCTCGAAGGGGGTGTTCGTGGAAGGGACCCAAACATGGAGTCCGAGGGGGTGTGAAAGGAGGGGGCTTCTAACCTGCGAGGAACCCCACCTTCTCCAAGTCCCTGGGCCAGTGAAAGGAGCTCCTTAGAACTTCCGCTGGGGCGATCGACTCAGTTTCTTCCTGCACCTGCGAATAACTCTCCCGGTTAGAGAGATGGGAGGGGGGCTTGGTGCCGGGAAGTTCTTGCCCTTAACACTACGCCCCCTTGTGGACTGGAAAGAGAACACCTTCCCTCAGAATGTTTCTCTGCCTCTTTTTTTTTCTTTTTTTGAAACGGAGTCTTGCTCTATTGCCAGACTGGGCTGCAGTGGCACAGTCTCCACTCACTGCAACCTCCACCTCCTGAGTTCAAGCAATTCTTTTGCCTCAGCCTTCTGAGCAGCTGGGACTACAGGCATGCGCCACCACGGCCCACTAATTTTTGTATTTTTAGTAGAGACAGGGTTTCACCATGTTGGTCAGGATGGTCTCAAGCTCTTGGCCTCATGGTCCACCCACCTCGGCCTCCCAAAGTGCTGGGATTACAGGTGTGAGCCACCGCGCCCGGCCTATTTGTCGTGTCCCTTTACTTTCAGTCTACATCTGTCCTTACAGATAAAGCGAGTTTCTTACTGACAACATAGAGTTTAATTTATTGTGTCAGTGTATACCCTTTAATTAAGGAATTTAAACCATTTATATTCAAGGTTGTTATTGATAGATGAGTACTTTACTCCTGTCATTTTGTTAATTTTATTCTTGATCATTTTGCATTTTTTTCTTTTGTTTTTATTGCTTATCTTTATAGTTGCATGGGGTTACTATAGTAATAACAGTTAACATTTGACTCCTTTCTCTCTCTCGTTTGTGTATGAGTTCTAACAGTTAGTTGTATATTTTTGGGTGGTTTCATGATGGTAGATACATTCTTTTCCAGATGTAGACCTTCGTTAAATATTTCTTGTACAGCTTGTCAGTTTCTTCAGTTTTCACTCATCTGGGACTTCATTTCTTTATTTTTGAAAGATAACGTTGCTGAGTGGGCAGGGTGGGCCTATTCCCAGGCCCCCAGTCAGTGCATGTCAGTGGCAGAGACAGGCAAGGTGAGCCTGTCTTCAGGTACCACAATGGTGTGTGTAGGCACTAGCTACAATAGGTAGTGCAGATCAGTCCCCAGGTCCCAGGAAGATATGCTTTACTCACCAATGGTGGTAACAGTGAGTAGGGTGAAACTGTCCACAGGCCCTAGGACAGCAATTTAGGCAGGCCAGACCCCAGGCCCTCTGAAGGTGTGGGTGTTTCTGCCAGGAAGGACAGGGTTGTTTTCAGGGGCAGAAACTTGAAGACAGCTCTCAGGCTCTGGAGAACACATAATGCATCTACCTTTGTCCCGGGGGCAGCCTCCCTGGCACACTGTACTATTCATTCCCCAGGGCGTAGGACACTGCATAGGCTAGAGTGTTGGTGATGTGGCCACCCCATTGGGTCTAGCTGCCATCATATGATACAGCCCTCTGGGTAGATCTGGGGTTGTCAGCAGATTTCTGGGGCAAGGTGCCTCCTGGTGGGGACTGGGCTCTGAAAATGGTGCCATACTACAGCTACTTGGATTTCAGGAGGGGTGAGATCCAGTGTGAATTTCTTCTCTGAAACAACGCTGTTGCAGACAGCACCCTACTTTAGTGTCAGGGCCTGCAAGGGTTGAGAGGCTCACCTGGGGCTAGGATTGCAGAAGTCAGCAGTGGGAATGGGGATCACTAGAGATTTCTCACTTGTCTATTACCCACCCTGGAGAGCTCCTCCTTGTGCTGAGCTGAGCAGAGCTGGGCCAGCTGCTTTGCATCCCTCTCCCTTCAAGGTTCCGTGTCATGTCCCTCCTGAATTTCAGTGTCCTCTTTTAGAAGCTCTACTATGTGTAGTTATCTACTTGATGTTTTGCTCCTTCTCTGTGTAGGAGGCAAGTGCTGGGCACCTCTAATTAGCCATCTTGGAGCCCTCCCTGATTCTTTTATAAAGGAAAAAAAGATTTTTACAGCTCCAAATATTTACTCACTTCTCCTGACTCAAATTTGGAACGTTTTATTCATTTTGTCATTGGTTGCCTACTTTGTTCCAGGCTCATTAGAGTGGGAAATAACAACTATTGCAGGACACTTTATGTAGACTCCATATAATAAATAAATTAGCAAGATTATCTGTATTAAAGAGGGCTAACTGCTATTTAAAAAACCGAGTCAAAATAATGAGAGAGAGGTGGACAGCGTATGTTACTTTAGGTGTCATAGTTCAGGGAAGGCCTTCAAGGGGCTGAGGATTGAACAAAGAGGGAGCAAGTGATCGAGTAACTGGGGGAAATTGTCTCAAGAAGACTCAGGAAGTGCAAAGACCCTGACGAGGGCTGCTTGATGTGTTATAGGAGGAGAAAGACGGCCTGAGTGAAGCAGAGTGAGAGTGGTGGGAATGAGACTTAAGAAATGCTGAGCTTAGATTATGTAAGGTCTGGTAGGGCCAATGGTAACATTAAATACATGTAACGTCAAGAATCACATGCTGTGTCAGTGTAAGACCTTTATTTACAAAGTTATGGGATTCTCAGAGCCAGTTTTTATCCCAGGTTAGAGAAACTTAAACTTTAAATTCACTGGTCTTCAATCTGGTTGGCAGGTTTTGGTGGCGATATCATGGAGCAATAATTCAAGACACCAAATCTCAACAGAGCTGGTAAGTGACTTGATTTTGTGAACCATGAGCACATCACTTCTGTGGCCCTGATCATCCTGTCTATTAAATAACTGTTTCTGAGATCTCTCCAGTGCTGATATGCTAATCAGTGTGGTAGTAGGTCCTCTATGTTCATCAGTTGGCTTTACTGCTGTTACGGGATTCTTTCCAGAGTATAAACTATGGAACTTTTTTTATGAGTCAACTATTTTAGCCAGCCTGGAAATTTAGGCAAAAAATAAAAATGAATGGAACATTGGCAAACTAGTTTTACTGGTTAAATAGAGGTGAAAATTGTAGAATAGATTATCCTACCATACAGTTAATGGGGGTGCTGTGGGGGAGTTGTGATTCAGGGGAAGGCGATGAGGGATGGCTGAACTGAATTTTCAAAGGGAGGAGTAGTCAGCCAGGTTCTTGCTGAAGATAAGCTGCTGCTCTCTGAAGTCAGTTAGAAATGTAGACCTTCAGGCCCCACCCCAGAGTAACTGAATAAAATCTGCATTTTAACAGAAGGCCTACCTGATTCGTATGCAAAATAAAGTTTGAAGAAAAGAGGAAAAAGGAGAAAAGTGTTTTCTAGGCAGAGATAGTAGCAGGTAAAGCCACTGTATGAAATGCATATAACTAGGGGATCTGAGTTTCGCCTTTGAGTTGGGGATGTGGTGGGAGATGGAGCTAAAAAGGTTGTCAGGAACCACATCCTGATTTTACCAAGGAATGTTGCAATGTCCTTGGTAAAATGGATGGGAGAATAGTAAATACTTTTGAGTAGGAGCATATTATAAGCAGGGTTTCATTTTAGATATGTAATATATGTAAATATCACTGAGTTTTCTCACAGAGGAAAAAAATACAAAGTACCAACTTTGAAAAGGAAGAGTTAAAATAATACTCTTTTGCAAATATTCTGGTTATCTCCCCAGCCAGAAACACCTAGAGAAACAACTGAACAAATTGCAAAACTAATAACAGAGTATGTTTAAGAAGTACTTTTTATTATAAACATAAAACAACTAATAACTTTATTAAATCTCTTTTACATGTAAAATAAAAGTCCGAAATTACCTTTTAGAAAATAAAATAGAATAAAACATTCCAAATCATAATAACAACATGACTATTAGAGACTGGAAGTAAACTTAATAAGAAATATTACATTTTATTGAGAACCACACAAAAATATTAACAAATGGAAATGTATATCTCTTCCCTGTATGAAATGTTACAATATGATGAAAATATATACATTTTTCAGGTTGGTTCAATGAGATTAATTGTCTTAACTGGAAACTTTTTTGAAAAGAGACATGTTCTGCTCTGTTGCCCAGTCTAGAGTACAGTGGAATGATTATAATTCACTGTTACCTCGAACTCCTGGCCTTATGTGATTGATCCTCCCACCTCAGCCTCGTGAAATGTTAGAATTACAGACATGAACAACCACGCCTAACCTGCGTACCATTAGAACCTGACAAAATAATCTTGAATGTATCCAGAAGAAATAAATATGAATGAATGTATTTAAGAAACTTTTGAATCATTCAAAGGAGGATACTAGCTGCCAGAAATTAAAATGTATTTTTATAATTTACATATGTAATTCTTATGAGGTATAATCACGGTCAGAAATAGACATATTAATGAGATTAGAAAGTCTACAAACACCCATAATACAGGACTTCTTAAACATAGAAAACACAGATTTTTCAATAATCAGAACTGGGACAAGTGGCTAACCATTGTCAAAATAATGTTTTTTTTTTTAATTTCAAAATGGTCCATTGAAATAAATCCTTGGTTATTAAACATCTTAATTTTAGAAATTATATTATAAAATGTAGATAAATGTAGATAATTATCCATCTTAAGAAAACAGTTTTAAGCACACATGCAAGTATAAAATCTGTTGAGAAAGCAGATAGAAAATTACATGAACTTTTTTTTTAATTGCATTTTAGGTTTTGGGGTACATGTGAAGAACATGTAAGATAGTTGCATAGGTACACATGTGGCAGTGTGATTTGCCGCCTTCCTCCCCTTCACCTATATCTGGCATTTCTCCTCATGAAAAGTGTGAGTCAAAGTTGCATGAAATAAAATTTTAAATTAAGGCCAGGTGGATCACGAAGTCAAGAGATCGAGACCATCCTGGTCAACAAGGTGAAACCCCGTCTCTACTAAAAATACAAAAAAAAAATTAACTGGGCATGGTGGCACATGCCTGTAGTCCCAGCTACTTGGGAGGCTGAGGCAGGAGAATTGCTTGAACCCAGGAGGTGAAGGTTGCAGTGAGCTGAGATTGCACCATTGCACTCCAGCCTGGGTAACAAGAGCGAAACTCAAAAAAAGAAAAAAAATAAGGTTTCAACTTAGAAAACTTAATCATGATATACGGGACCTGCCAAAGACTAATATCATTGGTAACTACCAAAATACAAATATTTTAAAGGGCTGTGAAATTATTCATATAAGAAGTAGATACAACCAGTGCACTAATAAAAGTTCAAACTCACTATTCACAAATTGTGTATTTATGAAAATACACAATTTCATCTATTTTTATGCACATACATGAAAACCAAAAAGCTGAAATGCTATCTTTAACTTATAAATAGATAACTTCTGAACGTTTAGGAAAAGCTGATCTTTTAAATGTTATTTGTGTTATACTCTATTACCTTTCCTTTCTTGAATGCTATTGGTTAATATGTTTGAAACATTATCTCCAGGAATCTATTTTAAATAAATAAATGAAGATAGGAAAAAATATAAATGCATAAAATATTCGTTGTAGATTTGTTTATATAGCAAATAGAAGACATATAAGGTAGAAATAATTTATTGATAATTTGGTTCTTAAATTATTGATTATATTAGCAAAAAAACTTGGCATTGTGGGTAAAAAAGGAGACAGGAAGTAAAAATATTTAAGACTTTTTAATCTTATGCAAAGGGAATCAGTAAATAGTATTTGTTGTTCAATACTTGGTATTTCTAAGTAGAGATGATTATTGTTAAGATATATTTTTGTAATTTGTGAATCATTAATTACAAAATAATTTTCAGTTCGCTAAAATACTTCCATATTTCTAGCAAAAAAAAAAATAAGTAAAAATATGGTATATTTAGCATATGAAAGAATAAAAGGGAAACCCTAAGGAAACATTTATGTAATAAACAATAAGACAGAGTAAAGGCAAACACCAGATATGACAGTTAAACTTCTTTAATACTAGACAAGATTTTAGATGAAGTAAAAATAAAATCCAGTTTCTTGCTGTTAAAAAATAACTAACCATAAACAAAACACAGAAAATTTAAAAAGTAAAGGGAGGACCAAAGATATATCAGTCAATAAAATTGCAGATATGGCAATATTAATATTAAAATAGAATTCAAAAAAAGAATAACAACAGTTTTTAAATGATAGTTACAAGATATAGCAGTAAATTCTACAAATAAAAATAACTTTTTAATGAAAACAATTCACAAAATCTCAATTATATTGGAAAATTTTAGCATATTACTACTCTGAAGCTTTGAGAGAGAAAAAAAGAAAAAATATAAGTACAAAAATATATGAATAATATTAATTAGTTTGATCTGATAAATATATTTTCATTATTTTCCTCTGGGATAAGAGAATATATGTTTTTCTTCAAAATTTAAAACATTTTTACAAATTGATGATTTTGAAAGACAAATTTAAATTAAAATATTCAAACACAAGAAAAATTTTAAATATTCTCCTTCTAGAGTAAATAGAAATTTTGAGTCAAATAGAATATCAAGAATGCATTTGTAAACAATTAGAGAAACATCAGTGATGCTACGGCATGTCCAACCTTAGGAATCATAAGGCTGTACGAGGCATCAAGATTAATCTTTAAATTACTAAACAAGAGAGTACAGTTACAAGCCTACAAATCAATAATTTAGGAAAATATTTTTAAAAATGTGTCTAAAGAAAATAGAAGAAAGTAAGAAAATTAAACAAAAAAGTAAACAATTAGGTAGTTTAATTGACACACCTCTTTGGGCAATTCAATTAATCCAATTTAAGTCACCCCACCTATAAAATGACATTGCTGTAGCATTACCTGACTGAAGGTTCTAGTGAATCAGATGTTCAGTGGGGATGCTGGTCACCTCTAGGGGCCATGGCTGCAGAAGAAGAGAATAACGTTTCCCATTGGAGCAATCGTGGGATCCTACGCATCAATCACAACTGTACCTCAAAGTTTGGTCTTGGAACTAGGGAATTTCTTTGACTTCTGAAATAGAGTTTGGTTTGTGGGGAAAAAAAAGCTAATCATGCTTTCTGAGGCATAAAAACTCTGCTTACCGCTGTCAGATGAGTTTACTTATCTAAAATATGAGGATTCCTCTTAGGAAATTTAATTTCTCACTAAATGATAACCTCATTTGTTATACAGCTGAGTTTAAAATGTGTAATTCCTCTGTAAAATTAATGGTTATGCATAAAAATATGCTTCCTCTAAATTGACCTTCAGTTCTTTCATAAAAAAGATCATCATTTAATCATCCTTTGTGCTATTTTATATTTTCCAAGTTATTCAAGAATAACTTGGAAACTATTCTGTTTGGAAATTTACTTGCAAAGAAGTTATTTTTCAAGGTATTGTGACAAAAAGCCTTGAAAAATAAAGATGATGTCAAAGGCAAGATGAAGAACTTGAAGTTTAATTATTCCTCTACAAAGAAAACTCTTGACAAGTATACTCACTCTTCAGTAAATATTTGTTACGGGTAGGATTCATACAGGGATGACAAAAAGCATTCTTGCTCACAAGCTAGTAGGGCAGCAGCAGGTCTGAAGTAGGCCTGCTGGAAACAAAACTGGAAATAAAAATTAAAAAGTTTTAAAAAAAAATTAAAAAGTGTTTTTATTTTCAAAAATAGCAAAATATAAAACAAGCATCACCAATTGAAATAAATTGACAAGGTTAATATGTATTTAGAGAGCATTTCCTTCTTTCTCCAATTCCAAATTTCCCATCTCCTTTTCTTCCCACTTACATTTGCAAGATTGATACATAAAGGGGAAATTCAAAGAATACACAAGAGTTTGGTTTGATCAGTTCATCTCAAGGTGCAGTGGCTTGCACCTGTCGCCTTAGCGCCTCAGGAGGCTGACGCAGGTGGATCGCTTGAGCTCAGGAATTCAAAGGCAACATAATGGGGCCATATGAATGAGATCGCCGTATTTTTGAGGTTGGCCTTCTGGTTGGATTTAGGCTTCAAGAAATGCTTCAAATAGACTTCTCTGTTGGGAGTGTTGATGTGTGCTGCGTGTTCTAAAGGCTACCAAAAACTGTGTTGTGATTCCAAGTTTCTGTATTCTAAAGGATTATTATCCTTGATCATCTGACTTAAATGTTTTGAGTTTCTTTGTTAGCCCTACAGTATTTCAAAATATAAATCAACAACATTTGAAAAAACAATGCTAAATTATTTGTGTGGTTTCTGGACGTTGATGATATGGATGGATTGAAATACACAGATGGGCCGGGCGCGGTGGCTCACGCCTGTAATCCCAGCACTTTGGGAGGTCGAGGCGGGTGGATCACGAGGTCAAGAGATCGAGACCATCCTGGTCAACATGGTGAAACCCCGTCTCTACTAAAGATACAAAAAATTAGCTGGGCATAGTGGCGTGTGCCTGAAATCCCAGCTACTCAGGAGGCTGAGGCAGGAGAATTGCCTGAACCCAGGAGGCGGAGGTTGCGGTGAGCCGAGATCGTGCCGTTGCACTCTAGGCTGGGTAACAAGAGTGAAACTCCGTCTCAAAAAAAAAGAAAAAAAAGAAATACACAGATGAAGACAACTATAAGAGCAAACCGACCCAGTGAAATAAAGTGACATAGAGACGTTACAAATCATAGTAGCAGTTTATTTAGTGTAACTTTATAGGGTCATGTTGGTCGGGTGGAAAGATAGCTTTAGATTTAAATCTCGGTGTAATTCTTTTTGTGCCCCTTCAAGGTTAAGCAGTGTATCTAACCTCTCTCAGCCTCAGTTTCATCTGTAATCATTCAGATACTAAGAGTGCTATACAGATTAAATAATACAATTTTTAGAGTGCATGATACATAGTAGAATTACGGGTCCCTATTGTAACCTTGAAAAAAATCTCCTGAGTAAGGAAGGGTCCTCCCTCTGTGCATTTGAAGGACTCTGGCCCCACTTAAACGGGAATTTCCTTCAGGTTATCTTTTCTAACCCAAGTTTTCCTTTCATCTAGTCTTCTCTGGATTGTACTAGACTAACAGAATGCAGACAGAATGGATGGTGAGCCAGCAGTAGCTGAATAGGATGCCTCACTAGTGTAATCTCTGTCTTAAGTCTGCTTTTCTTGGAAGGATTAAGCCTTTCTTTACAGCTGTGGTGGAGGAAGAAACATAGCGTGTAATAGAGCTAAAGATGAAAGATGTTGGACTGCTGAACCTGGCAACCCCTGTCAGAGGAGCACCAGGAAGATAGGAAAGAGGAAACTTTTTCAGTTGCAGAGAAACGGAGCTATCTGGCAGCCTGTCCCCATGGCAATGCCGTGCTCAGGAGTCCCTAAGCCCTTTGATGTGGGCAGGTGGAGCACCAAAAGGTCCGACACCTAGACTTCCCATCACTCATCCATCACTCTCCATTCCTTTTATTACACCTGCATTTATTGCAGACTTTCAGAAATTCACCTTTCGAACATGTTTTAGGAACATACCATGTATATAAGTAGGAAGCTGCTTACATATGTTAAAGTAGAAGCAGTATTATATTTAACAATATTTTAAAATTCATTTAAATCGTAAAAGAACAATAAGGCATGTTAACATCAATTTTCATACTTTACAACCATAGTCACTTACAGCGCCACACAGAAAGCACACGTAAATGGACAGTAGAAAAGCTCATAATTCAAAATTCTAATACCCAATGTAATTTGCCTCTACACGTTTCTATATAAATTATTGTATTTCAAAGAATAGGAGGAGCTTAAAATGAAATCTTCCTCTCCATGTTCTGCTCGATCCTAAGATCGTTATTAAAACCTACGGATAAAGACAACAAGGGAAAAATACTATGGGAGTTACACTTGAAGGAGCCCGAGGCATGAGTTAATATTTAGCAGTATTTTCTTACCCTAGACACCTTGCACAGTTCGGGAATAACTTTAAATGTAGCGATGTGTGACAACAGAGACACTGTTCTTCTAGGAATATAGCGTATAGATCAACGAGCACAGGGAAAAATAAAGTGAAATGAGCAAATGATAGAAGAAATTTGTGTATAAATTAAAAAGTTCAAAATTAGTTTCATCATCTGTATCTTCTATGTTCCATTATATTTGTTATTAGTTATATTATCTAATGCCTAGGACCAAAAACAAAGTAGGTATTTTTTAGGAGAAAGAAAGTACAAATTTAGAGCACTTCTGATTAAAATTTGTTTGCAAATTTTGCTCCATTTAGATAACATGACTTCCAGTCATTATTTTTCTAAAGCTGGGTCTCCTTGCCTGGCCAGTAGTTGGGCTGTAGCAGATGATCACTTGTAGTGTAGTTTTCCTTTTGGAATCTTGTAGACACCGTTGTTCTTTCTCTCTTGTTTGTGAGGCTTCTGTGCTTTGAAACATAATTTTTCTTTAAAATGAAAACTACTGCAATACTTAGGAAAATTGACACTGTGCCCAGTATCACAGTTAGTCCCAGATATATGTGTCTAAAAGAAGAGAGAATCTCTGTTACAATTATTGTAACTACCCAACTTGAAATAAAATCTAAAAAGGTAGATAATAATACCATTCTGATGGTTTGCTTTAAGAATGAACATTTGGTAGCTTATATATAAGGCTATTTTATGAATACTGTTCGTATTTTATTTATTTATTTTTTTGAGATGGAGTTTCACTCTTGTTACCCAGGCTGGAGTGCAATGGCATGATCTCGGCTCACTGCAACCTCCGCCTCCTGGGTTTAGGCAATTCTCCTGCCTCAGCCTCCTGAGTAGCTGGGATTACAGGCATGCGCCACTATGCTCAGCTAATTTTTGTATTTTTAGTAGAGATGGGGTTTCACCATGTTGACCAGGATGGTCTCGATCTCTTGACCTCGTGATCCACCCGCCTCAGCCTCCCAAGGTGCTGGGATTACAGGCGTGAGCCACCGCGCCTGGCCTACTGACAGTATTTTTTTTAAAATAAAGCATTGTCTTAGTAGCACCGTCATTTTCAGTTATTACACAATCAGTTTCATCCTCTCTGTAAATTATTCCCTTAATCGGGTGTCCACATCCCTGTTTGCCTACAACAGCCCCAGTTTATGCTAGTGTTGGCCCAGTGCAATTTTAATAGTGCTCCTTTTCACACTCAAAAGAACCCAGTTTTGAATGATAAATTATGTGGCTAGCCTATCCTCAGACCTTTCCCAAACTCATTTCTTTGGAAAACTTGCATAAAGCAATGCTAAGGGGAATTGGAGCTCTCAGTAAAGCAGAATGATTTCAGAATAAACCAGAGATTTAAATGCTAAGGTTTGGAAGGACAGGTTGAATGCCTCATTCTGGTTATCTTGAAAACATACTCTCAATCTCTGATTGAGTTACATTGTCTCTGCATTACAGTTAATACAGCCATAGCAAAAGTGTGAGTAAATCCTAAATTATACTCACAAATTGGGTTCCTTTCAAAGACCAAAATAAATTTCACACAGAGCATCAAACCTATTAACTCAAATTTATTTGAGATGGTGTGCCCAATTCACATCCAACTTAGATGGGTCAGCACCAAGTTTATTTCTCTAGAAAATGCTCAGCTTCTAAGTCTTAACAAATCTTTCTTGTTTTTAAGCCAGTGAAGCATTGCTTTAAGCAATCAAGGACTAAATGTTTGATGAGCTGAACTGAATGATACCACAGTGAAAAGGCCATGCCGCCCAACCCCCATCTACACTCACCCGCACAGAGAAAACCTTTTACTTTTATGCATTTCAAGTACAGGAATAATTGAACATCAGTTTGGCAATCAGAGACAGATTTAGAGCCAAATCCAACTCTTGCCCGGGGGATTATATCTGACGTAAATGGTACAGTTTGGCTCAGTTTGAAAAAGAATATAATTAAAACCAAAATGTGACCTAAATTTAAATGCTTCTGAATTTCAGGGAAATACTTGCCCATTTGTGTGCATAAACTCAAAGTTATTTTCTGGACTCTTTTGTCATATTTTTTAAATGATTGCTTATTTAAAATGGGAGTCAAGGTAATGAATAGGGACAAAATCAAAGATGTAATAAAATACAATTATTCTAGGATTACAGATCATACTTTTTGATTAGACTATTCTTTACCTTACAAGCAGTGAAATGACATGAAAATTTGTTAGTGTCAGTGGCATTGTGTAAATCTGGGATGCTGTAGCAGTGAGATGCGGGAATGCTTTTGATTTGGTACCTGAAGACATTTGAATCGTATAATCTGCATGATCCTCTACTTCCACATCTTTTAAATCCCCATTTGAGGCACGAAGTATCAATCAAAACTCCAAAATATACTGGAGCTGGGATTCCTGCTGTGAGAATAAACAAATAATTGCTGTTAAAAACATGTGCACATCTTTGTGGCTATGAACAATTATCTGAAACCACCTACTTTGTGTAATTACTGTTTTGGAGATGAAGGGTCCTCTGTTACATGCTGAAATCTCTAAAACCTGTCTCTCTAATTCAGTCATTTCTCATAGGTTCATACAGTAACTACCATTTATTTATCTCCAGAAGCCTGTCACTCAGGCACTTCAAACTCCACATGAGCTCAGCTTCTTCCCCTGCAGACCTGCCCCTTTAGCGGTGGCCGCCCAGTCACTAAATCAGACTTCGGAGTCTTGTTGATCCTTCTTTCTCTCCTCTGCCTGGCCGTTACTATATTTCATCTGTCCCTGAGTCACCCCAATTCTGCCTACTAATATGTCTTAAACACCTTCTCTTTCTCTTCCCACTGCTACTCCTTCTACCCTAAAGTAAGGCAACAGCCAATTCAAGATTCCTCTCATTAACCCTCGAATCTATCCATCATACGGAGCTTGCATCACTGAATTAAGTAGGTGAATTTCCAAGACATCTGTTCCAAAATGGGTAGTTAAGTGGACATTGAGTCCCTTCTACTCTTGTGGCCACACTTTGGGCAAGATTGTTGTCTTGTATTTCAGACTCCAATTTTCTTGTTTTTCTTTCAGTGACTAAAATGTTCTCCCCTCTTCTGTGAATGCCTCGTATCGTTTCCTTTATACCAACTAATAGTTTTCTCTTCTTCACCTTCTTAATACACACTCCCTTTTAGAATCTCATTTGGAACATGTTCCTTCAGAGTAGGCTACTTTGATGAACTAAACTGGATTAACTCTGGTTTTACATCTCTTTTTTTTTTTTTGAGAAGGAGTTTCACTCTTGTTACCCAGGCTGGAGTGCAATGGCGCGATCTTGGCTCACTGCAACCTCCGCTCCTGGGTTCAGGCAATTCTCCTGCCTCAGCCTCCTGAGTAGCTGGGATTATAGGCACGCACCACCGTGCCCAGCTAATTTCTTGTATTTTTAGTAGAGACGGGTTTCACCATGTTGACCTCAATCTCTTGACCTCGTGATCCACCCGCCTCGGCCTCCCAAAGTGCTGGGACTACAGGCTTGGGCCACCGTGCCCGGCCCGTTTCACATCTCTTAAAACTCTTAATACTCCTGTAATGATTTGTTGAATTGCCTTCTCTGCTACACTGTAAGCTCACCACGGGAGGAAAGATGTCTTCCTTATTCTTGCTATAAACCCTAGTAGGTTCTCAGAAAACGTTAGGAATTTAATCCCTCCTTAGGGAGAAAAGATGTCCCTCATGTACAAATATTAATGAAAGTATCTTAAGCAGTGTTCACAACTCAGTTTATATTTTATATCTTCTAAATTGGCGGTTATTAACATCTGTCACTTAGTCTATGTAGGTTTTTCTTTGTTTTTTAGTTAGTAGGCAGTGTTTGAAAGCTAGGAGATTTCATGTAAACCTGCACACTTCTGAGCTCTCTTAAGGATCGTGTTGTCTGGCAGTCCATGGTCATAGCTGGCTGGAGTTGAGCAGCAGCTGCCTCCATGCCTCGCTCCCACCTTCTACCTACGCTTGGAGTCCACTGTGAGCCTCTGCAGCTTTCTCACTACCCGTATCACTCATTTCCTTCAACTGCCTATTGTTTCTGGCATTTGAGTTTTAACCTTTTTGATATATGTTTTCTTCTGTTATAAAAGTGCTTTGCATGATTATATTGAAAAATATCTCACTAAATTTTTAAGGTCATCTAAGAATATTTATGACACGTCTAAATTTCAGAGATTATCCATCTGTTCTTTGATAACAAATGAAAATACTTAAAAATATTTTCTATGTTAAGGTTTACCTAAGCTTTGCAAATACTCATGTAAATATTGATTCAATCCAGACTCATCTATGGGTATCAAAATTTTGGGTGAAAGATTTTTGGGGAACAGAATGGTGACATAACATCGAAGTGTCAGATTATAGATGACTTATTAACTGAAGAAGGGTTTTTTTCTACAATGACGAAAGCTGCTGCACATCACCTTCACCAAGAGAGCACAATTAAAATTCCAGTGATGGTGTAAATTGAGTTCATATGCTTCCTGATGTGATTCACTAATTGTCATGCAGATCACCTGTGTAGTATTGCCACCAACAATTTTTACCTGGTTATACTCAAAAGCAAACAAACATATCCAAATGGTGGGATATTTTAAAAACTACTGGTTTTGCCTCTTGAAAAAATATAAATGTTGCAAAAGAACAAAAAAGTAAAACTGAGAAAGTTTTAGAGATAGAAAAGGTAACTGAATGCAATATGTGGTCTTTGATTGACCTTAGATGAAAAGAAAAAATAAAACACTATAGCAGACACTATTGTTTTAATAAAAGAAAATGGAATGCGGAGTTATTTTGGATAGAGTAGCATATCAGTGTTGAATTTCTGAGGCATGAGAATGGCACTGTGCTTGGATAGGACGATGGACTTTCTCGTAGAAAAATACAAGTAGAAGTCTTTAGGAGTGAGGTGTCAGCATATTCACTTCCTATTTTCAAATGATTCAGCAAAACATATGAATGCTTAGAGAAACAGAGGAGAGGGATTTCTGGTTTTTGGACACAGTTGATACATCCCAGTAAAAGTGATACAATTCATTGTAATTTAAAATTTTTTGTAAGTTTGAAATTTTCACAACAAATGGAAGAAAAAGAAAGAGGAAAGTGAAACCTATAGATTAAAAGAGATTTTAGAGGTTTATCACCTAAATGCAATGTGTGAACCTTGTTCGGTTCTTGATTCAACATACATGTGTAAGGAAACATCAGATAATTTAAAGAATTTGAGCAGTAATTGGGTATTTGCTAATATTAAGAAGTTATTTTTTAAGATGCAAGAATCACCAGATTAAAATAAGTCATATGGTTTTGATTAGAACACAGTAAACATGTCATGGAAGAAAGCAGTAGTCTGAGACTTACTTCAAAATAAGCTAGTGGGGGTGGGTGGTTAGGGACACAGATGTCCTAAGATGAGCTGTGTGTTGATAATTGTTGAAATTGGGTATGGATCAATTGGAGTTCATGTCTATCTTTGCTATGTACAAAGCAAGTTCCTGCTATCTTTGTATAAGTTTACATTTTTAAATAAGAAATTGTTAGAAGAATAACTAATTAATTCTATTTTCATAAAACCCCATGAACCAGAAGAGCAGAAAATTTATCTACCATTCAATTTGGATTATTTGGTACCTCAAGAACCAACCAAATATATGATTTACCACTTAAAAAATCCAGGTGATAGCCAATTTTACATTACCTTTAATGATATGAAGACAAGCCAAAAAATTCAGATGTTTGCAATTTTCTGTACATGATTTAAGAGTATTATAATAGAAAATTTTCAAAGATTCACAAAAGCAGAGAGAATGATTCAACATACATGTGTAAGGAAACATCAGATAATTAATCCTCATATACCATCATAGCCTTGACAATTATTAATGTTTTGCCATTGCTGTTTCATCTCTGTCTCCACTCTGAACTTTTTTTTGAGACAAAGTTTCCCTCTGTCATCCCGGCTGGAGTACAGTGGCACAATCTGAGCTCGCTGCAACCTCTGCCTCCTGGGTTCAAGCAATTCTTGTGACTCAGCCTCCCTGGGTATCTGGGACCAGAAGTGTGTGACAACATGCCAGGCTAATTTTTGTATTTTTAGTAGAGATGGGGTTTAGCTATATTACAGCCAGGCTAGTCTTGAACTCTTGGCCTCAAGTGTTCCATCCACCTCAGCCTCCCAAAGACCTGGGATTATAGACATGAGCAACTGTGCCCGGCCTGAACTCTTATTTTAGTATTTTAAAGGCAATCTCACACATCATGTCATTTCAATTTTAAATCTTTAAAAAACATGACCGCTATGCCGTTCTCACATCTAACACATTTTATAATAATTTCTTAATTTTATTTAAAATATAGTACATATTCAAGCTTTTGGATTGTCACCGAGGATTTCTTTAGTTTATTTGTTCTTATAAGGATCCAAACCAAACAAACACTTTGTATTTAGCTGATGACTCTTCATGGCAGTATCCCCTCTTCACTTCATTTTCTTACTAATGATTTTTGAAAAAAGACACCACCAGCTCCTATAAGATACGCCACAGGCTGGATGTGTATAACAGCTTCTTTATAATAGGATTAAATTTATTCTCCTAGCTTCCATTTTTCTAGAAGCTGGTAGTTAGATCTTATTAGATTCAGGTTCAGTTAGAAGGCACATGCTCCCTCGTTGCCACTCTTAGTAATGAGTTCAGGCTATGCCCGTCTGATCCTCCGTTATGAAGCTACCCATCCACTTTCACCTAAAGCTTTTAGCGATTTTTAAGACTCCAAGACAGGAATTTTTAGGAAATCTATACTTCTTATAGAAACTATTTGTGTTTTTCTCTAAAAAGGAATTTTTCCTAATTGACTAATTTGGTTACTTTGACATATAGTTAATAGTAGAAAGGCAGGATAAATGATTTCCTTTTTCTCCTTTATTTCTCAGTTTTCAGAATAATGACTTGATGTCCTGATAGTCTCCACATTTTTTAAGTATCATTATGAACTCATGTTTTTTAAATATATTGTATATATTTCAATAAACCACCACCATTATTGTGATTACTGCTGCTGCTATTGTGAGTTCTCACCTTGAGGCCAGTCTCCTCAAATTGGTTCAGTGCCCTTGGTATTTCCTTCTTGGGCTTTGATAGCTTAGTCACTTTCTTGCATAAAAAGATCCCATATCATGTATTTTCTACCCTATACCTTGAACCAGTCATTTCTCCAAGGTACCATATATTTTTCCTGGAGATTATATTTAGATATCACAGATTAAGTGTTGTGTTCATTTCTTCTGGGTTTCATAGTTTCTAGATTTTTCAGGAGATGGAACTATGAAATACACATTATTTTAAAATAAAAATATGTGAGTTCATATTGATGTTTAAGTTCAACTTTAAGAATGAGCTTTAAGTTATTTTATACTTGTATCGCTTTTCCATTTGACTAAAAATATGGATTTCAAGTAATCTTAACATTTCAACTACTTTGTCTTAAATTTATAATAGTTTTAATATAAAAATATTGATATGAGTAGTGATAATGACAATAAATGCAGTTTATGAGAATTTGGTAAAAAAAATTTTATTTTTTGAGGCATTTAAGGTTTTATGTATACTTATGTTACCAATTCAATATACGGTTTCAGTTTAAGATTTGGTTATTTTATTTTCAGTTATATAAAAACCTTATATAAATTTGATTAAGCAATCATATAAGTAGTTACATTTACAAAGTCTTACTTTCATCCTGAACTTTCTTACCTCTTAACTTTCTTCTCCTACAAGTAAACATTTTTAAAATTAGGTTTTATTTTTTATTTTTTTAAATTTAATTTTAATTTTTAATTTTTTATTTAAATTAGGTTTTAGTTTATGCTTCCATTGTTTCTTTTTAAAAAAGAGCAAAATGCCTTTACACATGTATATAATATTTCCACCTTTTCACACTTGACACCAAAAACATCATCCAATAAAAATTGTTCTCCATTTTGCTTCTTTCTACTTAATACTATATACTAGAGATTGCTTGATAACATTAGAGAGAGATTTTCCCCATTCATCCTTACAGCTCTGTTATGTCGTGTACTACAGTTTATTCAACCAATCTCCTACTGATGGACATATAGATCACTTCCAGGCTTTTGCTATTATAAAAAGTCACAATTATTACACCTATTTATAATGATTAAATTTATTTTATAGTTTTTGCTATCAAATTTTGGTATAATTCTTAGAAGTAAAGACATTAGGTTAAAAGATCTATGTATATGTAATTTCACCAGTTAAGCCCAATAAAGAACATCATTGTCCCAACAGCGATGTGTAAGCATAATCTATTTTTGCGTACATTGCAAACAGAATTTGGTAATTTGTCAGCCTGAGAAGAAATGTCGTTCTAGCTTGACCCTTTATGAGAGAACTTGGGCAGCTCTCTATATATTGAAAGGCAATTACATTTATTTTTCCATGAAAAATTCACATCTTTTACTCATTTTTCTACTTTGTTGCTTGTCTTTTTCTTCTCAAAATTTAGGAGTTTTCTTTATAATGGGAATATCAGCCAGTTGTCTGTTACATAAATTGCAGAACTCATTTCTAGTTTATCTTTTGCCATTCGACTTTGCTCATGATACTTTTGCCAACTTCAAAAGTTTTTTGTCAAATCAATTTTGTAAATAATTTATTTTAGTTGAAACAATTTTTGTTCTGTAGGTTCCATCTGTATTCCCAAAGACAGGTAGATATGGAGGCCAATTCTTGCCAGGCATATTCTACAGGCTCAATATATGACACTTTTCTAGATAACACCTATTTTCATGTTGTAGAATTAGAGCCAGTCATGATGTCATATAACTCCATTTTTGCTTCTTTTTCAATTTTATCAGGATTTTATTATTTTTCTATGCAACCAGTTTGTATCGAGATCTATGTAAACCAAATTTAACTTCAGATTGTTTAAGCTTTGGGTTTGTTTTGCTTTCTGAGTTGTTCCTTTCTACCAAAAGACAGTGGCATATTCAAAATTACTTTATCTTATTCTTTAATATATAAACTCTTCAAGGATAAAAACCTTATTTGTCTCATTCACTGTTTTCTGTGGATTTTAACCAATATACATTTAAAAATTTAGTAGGGAGAAAAAAACATTGTAATTACAATTGAAAGAACGAGCTACTCAAATGTATTTGCTTGCTTTAAATAGTGCTTTCTTTCTACCTAACGAAGTAAGGGACAAGCACTGAGAGTAGCTCAAAAGAATTCTTTCTATTTTAATAACTGAAAAGTTACATTTAGGCTTCAATCTTTCTTACTAGTTAGTTTCCGAGAGCTCTCTTGTGAAAGCTATAGATCTTGTGAGAACACACAAGTGCTAGAAAACATGATTGTTAAAAATTATGATTAATCTCACAGAATCTCTTGGTTATATCTGAGGCACAAACTAGGCAATAAATATTTCTGTAACAAAAAAAGGAGTCAAGAAAAGGAGGGAAGAAATAAAGAAATGACGGTTAACTTTACTACTACAACATATATTTATGCATGGAAATTCTATCAAAATATTTAGAAAAGTCTTCAAAATATATTTATGGCAGCTACCATAAATTAAAGCACAGATTATACTTACCAAGAACTCTTATTGCTAATGTGTAGATACCCAGGGCAAAAGACTTAAGCTGTGGGTTAATGCACCTAAAATCAAGAAAATTTTATAAGAATTATAAAGAAATATATATTATAAGAAATATATAATTATAAGAAATGATTATAAGAAATATATAATTATAAGAAATATATAATTCATTAAAGCAAATAGAAATTTGAATAATAATCTGCCTAACACACATGAAATTATGATAGAATTCAAGTGACATGGTGAACCCATTGGTGTGCTAACATAGGAAGGGCGAAATTTGTAAAAGCCATATTCCATTTCATGCAGTGCTACCTGTTTATAATTACTATTTCTAGAAACAAAATCACCATACATTCCATATTCATGTGGTGCTAGTAAAGTAAAATTTAAGTTTAACCAGCAAAATAGCAAAGACTCGGGATAAAGCTCCAATTTCTAAAAAATTGTTAGAATTTGAAGCAAAAATAAAGAATTAGTAACCTACAATTTTTATGGCTCTTGGACTAAAAGCACAGGACCAGATTCATCAGTTGATATAATCACTTGGCTAAAAGTTGCTGCTAAAGATAGAGAACTTGAAACAATCAGAAAAGTGCAAAAACACCTAAACAACAAGAGTGTCATTAATCTGACTCTGCAGCTCCATGTGATTTCCCTACGGATTTTAATAGTAATAATCGTGATAACATGTAATGCTGCAGAGTGTTAACCATGGTATTAAGTACTTTGTACATATTATATCATTTAGTCTCTGCTTTAAAAGAGGCAAAAAAAAAAAAAAAAACAAAACAAACATGACTTCTTCAACCCAGAGGAGTCCTTCTGACACCAAAATTCACAATAGTTAATATGAAGCACTAGTGGCTGGAAAATGCTTGCTGTGGTAGGTACCTGATTCTGCACTTGGCACAGTGTTGAAGAAGTAGCACAGTGTTCTGGGAAGTCTAAGACAGTGCTGTGCTGTTTTGTTAAACTCAGGCTACCATTTACAAATGGAACTATCTACTGTTCTTCATGTCTTATTTCCCATGACTTGGTGAAAGCTGTTTGGAGAATAGCAGGTTTGTGGATAATAAGATCTGTTTTCTGTTTGTCACTCCTAAACGATTTCCATTATACAAATTGTGAGAAATTAAAAATGTATACAATACTTTGGTTAGCCCTTAGAAAAAAATTAGTATTTATCCTTGAATACATGAATTAATTTGAAAATCGCCTAGTCCGTCTCATCAATATTGAATTCTAGTAAATGTTGACTTTTCATGTTTAATAATTTTATCAATTTTTATTAGGTGATTTTTATCAATAGCACAATAGAAATATTGGCAAAGCTAAAGCTAACTCAATTAGGATTAAATTATTATAACTGAGACTCCTATTTGCAAAACCATTTTAGCATCTGGATTCATATAGTTTTACAGATGTATGACAGGATAATCAGTAAAAAGTGTTTTAACACAAATTGTATTTTATCAGGAGAAAAACCTATAGGGAAGCTGAATGAGATATAAATACAGGAAGAAGGAAATATATAACACCTGTCACTGTGAAAGTGTTAGGCAAATCTGAACCAGGTGATGTTGGTTATCAAACCACTGTTTTTTAGATCCCATTAATTACATTAGAAAGCGATTACATTTAAAACTTACTTTTTAATAAAATATACCAGAAATCAATATTTAGTTATTATTTAAACGTATGATAAAAAATTTTATGTGTCAATTTATGTGTAAGAGGATACATAATTTTACAAAAATTTTTAGGGTTTTATAAGCAAAAATGATTGAAGTTATCGATACGGTCTGGCTCTGTGTGTTCCCACCCAAATCTCATCTTGAATTATAATCCAAATTTTAATTCCCACATGTTGGGAGAGGAACCTTTTGGGAAGTGATTGGCTGATGGGTGTGATTCCCGCATGTTGTTTCTGTGACAGTGAGTTCTTGCAAGATCTGATGGTTTTATAAGAGGCTCTTCCTGCTTAGCTCTGTACTTCTCCCTCTTGTGCCTTATGAGGAAGGCCTTGTTTGTTTTCCCTTTCCCAATTATTGTACGTTTCCTGAGACCTCTCCAGCCATGCGGAACTGTGAGTCAGTTAAACCTCTTTCCTTTATAAATTATCCAGTCTTGGGTGTTTCTTTATAGTAGTGTGAAAACAGACCAATATTGTCATTAACATCATGGATTAGCATCCTCAATTTACCCAAAAGCCATGAAATCCCTCACAGACAGTTCTAGTTATAGCAAAAATACACAGATAAAGCAAAAAAAAATCAAAATAATAAATGCATAATATTGTAGTATTAGATAAGCCTTTAAAATGTCTTGTAAATTATATTTCCCATGATCTAGTGAAACTATATTTAATCTACAATGCTTGTTATCGATGCTAATTAATATTATTACCAGCATTAGAAGCAGTATACTATTATCTATTAAGCAACTCTAGTAATGTAGGCACTAGCATTGCTTTCTAGACCAATAGTTTGCAAACATTTTTAAGAAAATGTCTATAATGCCACATTTTTGTATAAATATCAAGTGGGATACATACAGAAGTGAAACAAGGATGTGAGACAAGTTCCCTGAAAAAACTAAGAAGAGTTATAATGATTCTACAAAAAAAAATATTTAAATCCTTGCCTGAGATGATTATGTCTTATATTAAAATTGGAATGCGGAGAATCAGTACTCACCTCAGGAGTAATATGTATCCAGGTATGCCACCTAGGGATAAAGTATAGGATGTGATGACTGAAATTACAAGGAAATACAGAAACATTTGGGGACATCCATTGTCTTTTTGACATCTTCCAACTATGCCTGAGGAATTTCCAGATTTAGAAGCCGCAATTCCCACACAAGTGCAATTGTAAAATATCTGAAACATGATAGGGAACAGTCCAGTTATTGCAGTGACACTTAAATAAAATTAAAGATAGTTATTAAAATGTACAGTATAGTAGCCATGCATTATATAAACAATGAGGAAGTATTCTTTTATTTTTCCATATTAGAGTATATTGAACAAAGCAAACTCTATACAGAAACAGCATTTCATTATCTAAAAGGCAGATGGTCAGTCTACTAGCATGAATCCTATACAACAATCTCCCAGCAAATCCTACCTAATGTAACCATATCTTACCTCCTTCAGTACCAGTTTCAATTCTAAGTAACCACTATTTCTTGCCTAGATGATTACAATGCTCCCTTTGTTCTTGTTTTTGCTCTTACCTAGCTAGAATCTGCTTTTCATCCAGTAAGCAAAGTGGACCTTTAAGCATGACAGTCACGTCACATCACTACCCTCAACCTGACGATGGTTTCTCACTGTACTTGCGTGAAACCCACATCCTTAGAACAGTTTACACTTCTTCCATCACGTAGCACCTGGAGGCCACTCTAATATTCATTACAGCAGCCTGGACCGACTGAAACAGTTTTTACCTGTATTTCCAACCTCATCTCCTCTTCCACCCTACAGAAACCCTCAATTCCAGCCCATCTGCTCTCTTATTATAATACAAATTGACTGGATTTTCCAAGCAAAGTTGTCCTAGAATTATAATCAGGTCTCTGACCCCAAGGTCTAGAATCTTTGGAGTTCAACCCTCCTAATACTGAATTCTATTTGTCCATCTCCTACAACCTCAAATGACCACTGGTCTTGGAGTCAGAAGACATGGATCTGAAAGTATATCTTACTATATGATCACATGATAGACATTCCCATTCAGGGCTAACACTCCTTATAAGCAAAAGGAGAGAAACTGACAGCGTAATTACAAAAGCTCTTCCAGCCTATTTCTTGACTCTAATTCTCACCCTAATTTTTTCAGCAACTCAAGTACCACTAGGAATGGTTATAACGTTTTCTTTTTCTACACAAAAAAGGGTAAGAGGCAAGCCTCCTACTAGTAGTGGTCTGCTGTGAGCCCCATAGAGTTGTGTTATTTATATTGTAACAAGACCATGGGCATATACTTTACAGGCAATTTCTTACAATATTTCTTCCACTCCTGTTGGCGGTTTGACAACCAGCAAGACAAGCTGATGCATATGTGATCCCATTGTCACCGCACATTGGTTCCCATTTTGTCTCTGAACATTTGCATCTTGAGTTGCAATCTGAAAAGAGAGCTCGTTCATGATAAGAGACAGGTTTGGCTCTGAAAAGAAATATAACAATATAAAACATTACCTCTTAGCAGCTAGTACCTGAACATTTTCAGAAACCAATGTTTTTGCGTGATATAAATGATACTACCAAAAAAATTTGCCTTTTAGAAACACAGTTGTCTCAGAAATGCCGGCTTCTGGTCATGAAATGTGAGTTTACTAATAATAGCTTTATCTTGAAAGTTTTTAGAGGCTTACAAATTCACATCATGTCCAGTTCTTAGCTTATAGCTTTCAGTAAAGTCTGCTGCCTCTAGGATCCTCTAATATACTTATCTGCAAAGGTGTATAAAAATAGCTAACGAGGTTAGAAAAGTAAACTTTTAGAGCAATTTATGGCATTACGTAAATGCATCACAGGTGGTGTGTGTGTGTGCAAATTTCATTCAGAACTGTTGTCTAAGTGTGAGTGGAATGGACGTTGCTAATAGTCCAGTAAAGGAAAAGTCGCCAATCAGTAATCATTTAATTCTCTGCCAGTGTTTGCAGGAGCTACATGTCCTCTTGTGTATGTCTTACATTGGCAGTAAGTGCATTTCCAGTTCATTCAACCTTTCTCCCGTGTATTCTCCCGGTGTACAGTGCTCTTTCAGGTCTTACAGGATCCTTTCTTACTCAAATTCTCAAGCAAGTTCAATGACTTACCCACCTATTTGTTCATAAAATTTTACTGGGAAACTACTAAGTGCTAGCTCTGGGAGAAAAGGAGATAATTACAAATATTAATGAGACAATATTTACCCTCCAAAAGTTGGCTTTTTTGAGTTATTTCACAAAATTGTGATTGCATTCTTTCTTTTCCTCTTCATGTTTTTTGTCCTCTGCCATTCACCTCTATATTTACTCTTCATCTCTCCCAGGACTCTCTCTCCTTCACTTTTCTTCTGTCACCCGAGTGGCCTAATCCTTATGCTTTTATCCTTTTTTAGTATTCAAAGCCCACCACTCTTCCCAAGGGACCCTTTGCAATGGCACGTCAGTTCTATCTGCACGATAGGTGCCATTCCTGGGCCCTCCATACTTCATTTCTTCTGCTCCTTATTTTTACATTTATTTATTTGCTTATTCCTTCTCTCTTTCACCCCATTTTGTACAACGATATTTGAGGAGCTTAAACTAAAAAAATACATCGAAATGTGCAATCAGCAATCAGCAGAGGCAGGAACTGTTTTTTCAAATTTCCTCCCATATCTCCAGCACCAGTGATAATCCCTGTCACACAGCAGGCTAAGAAAGATTTCTAGTTAAGTTAGTAAAAAAAAATGGTAGTATGGTGAAAGAAATTACCCACTTGGGCCTCTGCCTAGAAGCATCGTCATTAAGGATGGCAACCGTAATTTCTTAATGATAGGAACATTCCAACTAGCAGGACTGGTAGGACGGATTTTGTCACCTCGAAAGTACAAACAAAAGTCCTCTGAGAGGTTTCCAAATGGTGTGAAAGGGTACTGAACTAAGCCTTCCGAGATGTCCTGTAGGAAGGTTTCATCCTATTCTCTTCCATCCAGTTTTCACTGTTAACTGAGACTGTTCACAGTAGTAAAAGGATGAAACTGCCTATTCAAGTCTAGAATCATTTTAACTCTGGAAATGGTAGGGCTGAGATTATGGGAGGTTGGAGCTCGAGGGCACCAGCTTTTCATTTGGCAGATCAGGGAAGTCAGGCCCCATGTGGGTGGGTAACTGGCTCAAATTCCCACTGCTGGTTAGTGACAAATCTGGAAACAGAACCCTGCTGGGCCTCTTGATTGTAAATTCTTATCCCACATCAGAGTTATTCTTCTTATTACAGAGGAGAGATTTCTTCCATTATCATATCTAAGGCTTATCTTCAGTTTTCCTGGTGAATATCCAGGTCAGGACAGTGTCTGGAATAAAGCAACATGGAAAACCCATGGAAGCCATTTTATATTTTATAAAGAACGTTATTCTGTATGATGGAAAGTAAGTTTAATTATCATCAGGAGTAGGAATCAATGGCAGACATGTTTTCCGAAAGATGTGCTGACAGTGGATTTGTCATTTAGAATTTTAATTATAAGAAAAGTTTTGACAAATATGCCAGAATGTTTATACCCAGATGCGATTTTCTTTCAAAATAGTTACACTGAAAGATGAGAGCTTCTTCTTAAAGGTTAAATCTTTGCCCTTGTTAAGAATATTCTAAAAAATATACAAGGAAATTTCAAAAGAAGAGCCTTAGAATATTTTTTTATATGTATAGACAGGGTTTCACCATGTTGGCCAGGCTAGTTTTGAACTCCTGACCTCAGGTGATCCACCTGCCTTGGCCGCCCAAAGTGCTGGGATTACAGGCATGAGCCACTGTGCCTGGCAAGTCTTAGAATATTTTAAACAACAACAGCATAACTGCAATACAGTCATAGTCTTTTAAGGTGACTGCTTTGAAGAACCTAGTACCCAGTAAATGAAAATGTTGCCCTGTATTTGTTTAAAATGTTTAGTCTTTGGTTATGTAGGACCACTTTTAATGGGAACCTCAAAGTTTGCTTTTATTGTCCGTTGGTTCTCTGTTTTGTGTTTACTTTGGCTTAGAAATTATGATGTAGAAAGAATGTTCTTCTTTGAGTCATGCCCGTCTTCAAGCCCCAGATCCATGCAGTTGCCTTTAAAGAAGGATAACAGAACTAACCTCATCAAGGTGTTTTGAGGATACAAATGAGATCGTGAAAGTTAAGGTGTTTTGTAAATCACAAACTATAAAGTGCTCTGCAACTGTCCCTCTACCGTGAGGATCTCTGGGACAATTAAAGATGGCACTGGGCTTCTCTCTCTAGAAGCTTCTTTCATTTCATTGTCACAGCCAACATTCTTGATCCACACTGCTGACTTCACTAAGGCAGCACCATAGTCAGCTGAGTCTAGCAATCTGGCTGTGATCACTCCCAGAAGCCATGATTTATGAACTTTGCATTCATCAATTTTCCTGAACTATAACAAGCACTCATTTAGCAGCAGGTGAAACCAGGTTACTAAAGGTGATGGAAGTTGGAACCTAGAGACAAGGCAGATAAGCATGGAAGGAAGAGTAGGAAGGGAGACGGTTAGCAGGCTGTAAGCAAGAAGCCACATAATGGGCAGGAAACAGAATATAGTGTCAGGAGTGTTTGTCTTTGAGCCACAGGCAGAGTTTCTCGTGGCCAGGCAGATACAGTTGGGGAGGCCTTCCTGGCACATGGTGGAGCCTCAATAATTTTTTAGAAAACAAATAATGTATAGACAGGTGAAATGATGAAGAAAAGTCACCTCTGGGAACTCATGTTAAAAGGTAGAGTGATGGGAAAGACTCAGTGGGCAATACAGTTCCTACAAGATCCAACCATGTATTAAGAGAGACTCTGGAAACCAAGCAATGTGTTATCACCCACCCCATATAAGATGGCAGGTCTGAGGGCACTACTAAATATTATCCTGACCATTTGCAAGAAACCCAGCTGAAGAGAAATTTTATGGGGAGCACCAGGTTGAAGGACAGGCATTTCTTTTCAGAAACTTTACATGGTTCAAGCACAGCAGCAACTGTGGAGGATTGCATAGAAGTAACTCCCCTTACTCAGGTGTCCAAAGGAGAAAAATACAATTGTTTCCATGAATGGCACATTTATTTTGTGTTAGGCAAGTAGTATTCATTTTCCTATATATTAACTTGCTCAAACTTAAGAGAAGCTTAAAAGGCAGTTATTACTTCTGTTTTTAAGATGGGAAAATTGAAGTTGGATTAGTTTAAACCGCCCATACGTCACTTCATTAAAATAGAGACCTGATTCCAGGCTTGTATTTCCACTATCATGTTGTTTTTCTAAGTTAATCAGGTTGGCTCTCTAGTGTAAAATAGGGTTTATCAATTTATTATTTCTCTAAGACATTTAAAATCAAAAAAGATGACAAACTTTGGTGACAATAACATTCTAAGTATTGTCAGTTATTCCACAATAAGATACTAAATCTCTTACCATAGTTAGGATGTTTAAAAATCAAATTCATTTTTTGCAACTCCACCAATAATTGATTTAATTAAGACAATATCCTCAAATTATTTAATAAGGGAACATACCCTTGGTAGGAAACAGTTAGTCCTGCCACATCAGAATTTTCACAGCCCAGTGCAAACAGGGAAAGGAATAGGAGGTAACCAAAGATAGATGATCCCAGGTAGAGTTTTGCAGCTCCACACACACTGATTCTGAATTTTTTCATAACTATCCCCCCAGAGAATATTCCAAGGGCCACTGCTGGTATGTTGATGAGCCCTGAGAAACAAGAACATAGATCATTTTGTGAATCTCTAAAAAAAGATCCGAGTGCACTCACACAGACTTTCAGAAGTATTATTATTAGAAGACTTCGTCACTTTAAATTATAGAAATATTCACTTTAAATTGTAGAAACATGCAGTCACTATACTCTGACATATTCAAAGAATGTATGATGAGTGTCTTGGTTATAGATTAATGGTGATGCAACTATACTGTCTCAGGTTCTGTCTAGCACAGAGTATTAATTAGTAAATACCACATGAATCAATACATCTCTCTGGTTATTCTAGTCCAATTCTAGCATTAACAAGTACAGTCAGGTAGCAGTTAGGTGTCCACTAATGTTGTTTAATGTCCTGTATAAAAATAATAGGCAAACAGAGTATAGAAAACGTTTTTTTAAGTCTTGATTTCTCTTTTATGCCCCCCACTCCCCATGCATGCAAAATTTGTTTTCTTCGAGCCAGCTTCTTAGATTTGAGTGTGGTATCCTTCCTAATAAAAACAATAACCACCTGTATTTACTTGCTTATAATGTACCAGCCACTGAGCTAAGCATTCAATATATTAATATTATCACACTTGCTTTTCACTACAACCTTAAGAGTAGGCGTATTGTTAGCCTCACTTCAGAGAACTGTTTGTTTGCAGTCACAGTTAGTAAGTGGGCAACTAGATTTGAATGCAGAGAGAGTGATGTCAAGCCCCATGCTTTCAATCACTGCTACGTGGCCTCTCCGTCAGGGCTCTGGGAAATAGTATCCTTGATAAATAGATGTACAATATCCTTTTAGATAGCTCTGCGACCTCACTGGGAACCTAATAAGTGTGAGCTGTAAACTGCAGGGGGAAGAGGTTCAACTTAGTGGCTGAGAGCTTGGACTCTGGAGACCCAGCTGCCTGAGTTTAAGTCTCACTTCCGCCACTGACTAGCTGTGCAATTGCAGGTAATTCTTCGAATGTCTCTAAACTTGTCTCCTCATCTATAATATGGAACTAATAATAGCATATTATTGAGGGAACTAAATTCTATTATTTATGAAGAGTTAGCAGCACAATGTTTAGCACAAAAATATCATGCAATTAATTGCTATCCATTTTATTTACAAAGATGAACATATTGGAGGTGGGGTGGCAGCGAAAGCCTTGTGTTGTAAAAGGCTTGGGAAAAGAGGCACGTTGGTGCTGCTTGTTGGATTGTAAATGGTGTAACTCTAGAGCAGAACAATCTGGCTCTCAAAACTAACTTCTCTGCTAATTAGAATTTATTTCTCATATTGTCTACCTGTCAATTATTGATGTCCATGGTTTCTTGAGGTTTTGAGATAATACATCTCTTTCAAATAATAAAAAAGCCGAAGTGTGCATGACCTCTGCTAGTCAACAGATAAGGTTCAAAGACAAAATCAGCATTGCTGTGGCAAAAGAATAATCTCAAGTACGCATGTCTGACTCACAACCTGCTGTGAAACTGTAAAATAAAAATGAAAACGCTGACATCTAGTGATAATGACGTGCACATTTTCTTCTTTCCTTTCCTTTTTTTCTTCTTTCTTTTTAAGTTTATGTATTTAGTTCCTTAACGAAGCATCATAGAATGGCCAAAAAAATCAACATACAGTGGTCTTTGGCTTGCTATTACATTATTTAAAAATCAATTTCTAACATGTATAGATGATCACAAAAGAACATTTTATTTCCTCTCTTTTTATATAATCATAGGTTGTATAAGTTAGCATTAAAATGATCATATTAGAAATCAGCCTGCCTTAAAGGGGACATGATCATGAAATAGTGAAATGGAAGAAAAAAGAAATGCTAAATTTTGCTTTTCAGCTAAACTGTGGTTCCGGGTATGGCAAGCAACAGAGATGAAAATCTAGAACCTTGAACAGCCAAAAATCAGCTTAGAGGCACATGATTACTGTTTCAAAAACAGTGACTGTGTTACAGAAAATATATCAACAAACCCACTTATTCATGGCCCAGGTTAATTAATACTCATATTTTCTCCTAATTTTTCTGATTTTTAGAGATGGGGAGGTAGATAAAATTAGGTCTTCCTTTGTTTCGCGTTTCATCTTCCTTCTCCCGAAATAAGTGCTGCTGTGAGTTTGATATGTATCCTTTAAACGCCGACTTTTACACACACACAAACATACATGCAACAAATATATATAACATAGTACCTGATTATGAATGCCTTCCACAGAGCCAAAGCTGACACAAACAGCAGAGTCCTACATTTTCTCTCTCAATTCCATCCCCAACATTGGTTTATGAAAAAATATCTCCTGAAAACCAATCTCCGAACTGAAAACTTCAGAGCATGTCCCTAGCCTTTTATTTTATTTTGTAAAGTACCAGTTGAACCTGGGATGTAAGGAGTCATAACACAAGGTGTAGCCTTGTCTGTAGCTATGTTCTGTGTTGAATCGCACTGAACTTACCCCACTCCTAGCAGCCTAAAGAGCCTGAAAATTGAAATGGAATTACCCTAGAAACATCTGTATAAATTACCCTAGAAACACTCAGTATAAATCGTGAACAGTCAAGAATATCCTTTCCTGATTTACCTCTTTTTGGATGCTGGTATTTTCTTGAAACTTCCAGAAAGTTTCATGTATTCTCTTGAGTCGAGATCATTCTACACGAGATATTTGCTTTGTCTGATGAAAACCTCTGCTCTCTTTCCCACACTTTCATCTTTTAATACCTTCCTATTCTTTCCCCTTGATTTACCTATCATCATCTTCTGCTAGAGAATTCTTCCTGATTCCAAGATTAGGTTTGTTCTCCCAGAGTACTCTGAGTTTCCCCTAAGTAGATTCCTTCTCACAGGTTCCACCAGCCACATGGGGCTTCCAGGGGACACATTTGGCACCAGGGCTCACAACTTGGTCATCAGAACCCCATTTTGTCACTCATCAGGAGTTCCTTGTGCAGGGGCCCATAGGCAGCAGCCTTGATGCTTTACCAGTTACCTGCTAGTCTTTCCAGTTCATATCTCTCACCCTCCAACCAAACCCTTGAAGGAAAAATGGTCTTCACCATTGAATCCCATGTTTCTTCAACGGTTTCCTATAAAATGTGTGAAATGAATAAATCTTAGTGCATTAATTTATGGCACTTCTCCTGGATATCTTACTCTCCTATTTCAAAATAACTAATTTATAACACTATTCCAAAAAAGATTAGTACATTTCAAATATACTTGGTTCTCCCTTTCAAATTTCATAGGATTTATTAAGTTGTCCGTGGTGGGCCACGTTGCTAACAAATTTCCTTTACATCATATGAGATGTGTTTCTTCCCTCCTAGGCTTGTCTTAAATTTTAGGTATTTTAAAATCATTTAGTGAGATGGAAATTACCCTTTGATTTATGCCTTACCCACACAATAAAATGTGCTAATCTAAAATTTTTTTACCATCTAAGTAGTCTAAATGGAAATATTAATTTATGCTAGTATCTAAAATTTGTTTCAACTTACTTTCTATCTTTTCTTTTTAATTCAACATGCATGTTTACCAAAATATCAGAAAAACTTAGGGATGTTTAAGTGCTAATTTATTATTGTTTTTATTATACTTTATTATATAATTATTGTTTTAGCACACTCATCAGATTAAAGCTCTTATTCCTTGGTACCAATGTAAAAAGGAGTATGAGAGACGTGTAAAATGTTTGACATGGTCAGCACAATTAGAACACTGTAGAAGCTTTGATTTCCCTACCAATGTGTTGGGTTGAAAGAGTTATAATAATAATAGTACTTGAAGATGTTTTAGAATTTCTCTCCTAGTAATGTTCATGTTATATCCTGAACCTTCACAAAACAAAATTAATAAAAATGTTTTTTATAAGCAACTTTCCTCTAAATAATTCTCTGATTTTTTTCTTGTCTGTGTAACACCTCCATAAATTGAGAATGATAATCTTTGTTATAAATGATAGTCGATATATCTTGTCTATAAAAAGCATTGTAAGAAATTAAGGAAAAATAACTAAATTGTTACAATCTCTGTATTGAGAAGGAAAAGATAAGGTAATTCGTATGTAACTTAATATTGATAGGAGAAGCTTAAATTGAAATGAAACCACATATCTACAACCATCTTATCTTCAACAAAGCTGATAAAAACAGAAATGGAAAAAGGGCTCCGTATTCAATAAATGCCACTGAAATAACTAGCTAGTCATATACAGAAGAATGAAACTGGACCCCTTGTTATTATCATATACAAAAATTAACATGGATTCGAGACTTACAGATTTAAACTATATAAACCCTGAAGAAAGCCTAGGAAATACCCCCATGAATATCAGACTTGGCAAAGAATTTATGTCTATGTACTCAAAGCAACTGCAACAGAAACAAAAATCGAAGTGGGACCTAATTAAACTAAAGAGCTTCTGCACAGCAAGAGAAACCATCCAAGAAGTAAACAGAAATTCTACAGAATGGGAGAAATTCACAGACCATGCATTTGGTGAAAATCTAATATCCAGATTCTATAAAGAACTTAAACAAAACAACAAGGAAATAATGTATAACCCCATTAAAAACTGAACAACGGACATGTACAGACACTTCACAAAACACATAAGCAGTCAGCAAAGATATGAAGAAATGCTCTTCATAAATAATCACAGAAATGCAATTAAAAACCACAATGAGGCCGGGTACGGTGGCTCACACCTGTAATCCCAGCACTTTGGGAGGCCAAGGCAGGTGGATCACGAGGTCAGGAGTCCAAGACCAGTCTGGCCGACATGCTGAACCCCTATATCTACTAAAAATACAAAAATTAGCTGGGTGTGGTGGCAGTCACCTGTTATCCCAGCTATTCAGGAGGCTGAGGCAGGAGAATTGCTTGAACCCAGGAGGTGGAGGTTACCATGAGTCAGGATAATGCCACTGCACTCCAGCCTGGACAATGACAGCAAAAGTTCGTCTCAAAAAAAAAAAAAAAAAAAAGAAAAGAAAAGAAAAATGAGAAACTATCTCACACCAGTCAATGGCTTTTTTTAAAAACTCAAAAAATAACAGACGTTGATGAGGCTGTGAAGAAAAGGAGTTGCTTATACACTGTTGGTGGGAATGTAAATCAGTCCAGCTATTGTGGAGAGCAGTTTGGATATTTCTCAAAGAAATAAGAGTTAAACTACCATTTGACCTAGCGATCCCATCAGTGGGTATATACCCAAAGGAAAATAAATCATTCTATCAAAAGGACACATGCGACCAGGTGCAGTGGCTCACACCTGTAATCCAGGCACTTTGGGAGGCCAAGCAAGGTGGATCACAAGGTTAGGAGTTTGAGACCAGCTTGGGTAACATGGTGAAACCATGTCTCTACTAAAATACAAAAAAATTAGCTGGGAATAGTGGTGGACGCCTGTAATTCTAACTACTTGGGGGGCTGAGGTGGGAGAATTGCTTGAACCCAGGAGGCAGAGGTCACAGCCGAGATTGTGCTACTGCACTCCAGTCTAGGTGAAAGAGGGAGATTCCTTCTCCAAAAAAAAAAAAAAGACGCATACACCCATGTGTTCATCACAGCACTATTCATGATAGCAAAAACATGGAATCTGGCACCCATCAACAGTGGATTAGATAAAGAAAATGTAGTACATATATACCATGGAATATTATGCAGCCATAGAAAGAATGAAATTATGCCCTTTGCACAAATGCAGGTGGAGCTGGAGGCCATGACCCTAAGTGAACTAACTCAGAAAACCAAATACTGCGTGTTCTCACCTATCAGTGGGAGCTGAATATTGGGTACGCGTGGACACAAAGTTGGAAACAATGGATACTGGGAACTACTAGAGAGGGAAAGGAAGGAGAGGAGAAAGATAAGAAAGTTATCTATTGGGTGCTATGCTCACTATCTCGGTAATGGAGTCAGTCATACTCCAAACCTCAGCATTATGCAAAGTGTAAAAAACCTGCCCTGCACGCATACACACTATTCCAAAATAAAAGATGAAAAATAAAAATAAATAAGAGACAAAATAAAAATAAAAATCTAGCTGTCTATCCAAACATTTCATTAAAATTCTTTTTAAAATCCTACAAACTTTAGAAATCAAAATCATTTCACAGTATGCTTCCTAGTTCTTGAATTTAAATTTTATTGTCGTTTATTTTCCCTTAATATTTTTCTACAAAGTTGAAGTAATAAATATGAGAAAAATGCTATCTCTAAACTCTAGAAGGAATGTGGCTAACATTCAAAAACACATACAGCAAGACTAAGTTGTCGTAACTCTTCGCCCTTGAAAATGTTGGGAAATTTTCTGTTTACTCTCCTCTCCATGGCATGTCAAATGCCTTCTCTCAGAGCAGAAAGGAAATATGCCTTCTTTGTGTCCATCTCATATTTTATTGCAGGAAGATCATTATCCCACAACACAAGTTAAATGAAGAAAAAAAGAGACAGGTTGAATAGAAGAAGAAAAGAGAGAAAATAATATTTATTGAATGACGATATATGCATTTACTATGCATTTTATCTGTATTCTTTCATCTTTATTTCAACCTAGTGATATATTTATTTTCACCATCATACAAATAATCAAAATAAGGGTGAGGGGAAATTGAATAATTTGCCCACTTACCCTTAGTTGTCTGCACCCCTTACTTACTAATGTGAAACCAAGATGATCTCAGGAACAATCCTAGCTGTAATGATGTGAAATTGTTAGATACTATTACTTATCTCCCACAACAGTATTTAAATTATCTGTAGGCCATGACATGTCAGAAACTTTGAAAACCTGAGTTTTAGGTAAATGCAAATTAAACCACCGTGAAATACCACAAGCACACCCCATAAGAATGGTTACAATGAAAAGAACTGACAAGTCCAAGTGTTGACAAGGATGTGGGGCAACTGGAATGCTCTTAACGTTTCTAATAGAAGTATGAATTTGCACAACGTCCTTGTGTTTTGGCAATAACCACTCTACTTAAACACATGTTCTCCCTATGACTTAGCAATTGCACTCCAGAGTATAGCCATGAAACATGAGTAAAATGGCTCACCAATGTACATGTGGAATGTTGTTTTCTGCTTTTAACTATCATAAAAAATTATGATGTTATTTATAATAGCATTATTATATAGTATATATAATACCATAATTACTATATTATAGTAGTACTATATCATACATACTATATATTATAAATTTTAATATAGCATATAATATATTATGTACTGTAATATGCTATAATAATATATATAGATAATATATATTAACATGTATTAAAATACATAATATTCTTGTTTGTGTTGTTTACTGCCTTCATTATAAAAATAATTATAAATATTTTATATATTATATAATGGTTATATACATGTTGCATAATTATATTTATGTAATTTATTATATATGTACTATATATAATTGTATATAATTTATTGTATATTATATACAATGTATAATTTATTACTATATAATATATATACAGTGTATAATATGTATCATTCATATTAATATATATTTTAAAAATATTTTATAATATAGTATAATAGACATTATATATTTTAATTTAATAATATAATACTATTATAAATAATTGTATTTATAATTACTATTTTTATAATATAGAAAATTGTATGTTATTTATAATATATTATGTATTATATATTATAGTATTATAAATATATTAGTTAAAAGCAGAAAACAACACAAATGTCTATCAACAATAAAATAAGTTGTGATATATTTATGTAATAGGATATTACATAGCATGAAAAAGAATATTTCACGACATGAAATAATCTCATAGATTTCACTTCGGTTGAGATCAGCTAGACACAAAAGAGTATATAATATACTATCTAATGTATATGAAGTTCAAAAACAGGCAGGACTGGTCTATGATTATATAGTTTAGGACAGTTATTGGCTTTGGGGAAAAATATTGACTGTCAGGAGATTTAGGCGCGTTTTCTGGGGAACTAAAACATACTGTATGTTCTGAATGCTGGATGTGACACACACACACACACACACACACACACACACACCAAAATGTATCCATCTGAACTGTTTAAGGTCTGTAGCCTTAACTGTGGATAAGTTATATTTCAATATACACATAAAAATGCAAATAAAAGGTTTGTCTTAAACTGTAGATCCTCGTCTGTTCATCTTAAAATCAGTGTAAAGCATTGATTAACATGCATGTGGTGTTGGGAAAAAAGCCACAAAGTATTTCATTAGGTCAGTCAATAAGTAATAAAATTAATTTGAACCAATTGATGTTAAAAGTAAAAATATTCAGTAATGAACCTTAACATCAAGAATTTTGGAGAAAAATATTTTAAAATAAGAGTCAGTTATATTAGCATCTGCCATGTGCCCATTACTCAAGATTACCATGGAAAACTTATATCTCTTACAATACATTTGGCTGGTTTTTTCTCCCTCCAGGTCTCTTTCAGAGGTTGAAATATAGAGTGATTTTGAAAGTACCAAAAGGAAATGATTTTATACTACTGGAGTCTGTCATCACAAAGGAATATGCCCCAAGAAACAAAATATTTTATGCCTTGAAACAGTAACATTAAATGACATCCTCATGGACTAAAACGAATCTAGATTTTTAAAATATCTAATTACTTCCAGGGTGATGTTCACGTATTTGTAGGATCTGATTTATCTTCTTTTGTTTCTTCATACTTTTCTTTTTTATTATTGACTGTGTTGCTGTGCTAGAAACACAACCCTTTGAACTAACCCAGTTGCCAGGAGTCAGAAAAGTTTTTTTAACTCTGCAAAAATACAAGTTTTGTTTTGTGTGAATATCTTTTAGCCTGCCTCGTTGTCCGTTTCATATAGTCTTAGAAACTGTTCATGTAAAATGGCCACTGTTTTGAGGATTTGGCTGTACTTAGAAGACAAATATGCAGTATTATTAACTAACTCCTCATAAAATGCATGTTTGATCTCTATGATATCACTTCAAGAGCTACTTGCTCTCTGGGTTCCTTATCCACAGATGTGAATAATTCTTAGTACAAAATTCTTGCTATTTTTTGAGTTTATCTGAAATGTCATAAATTGCCTAAATCTTGGAACGATCTTCTCTAAGATTCCTGGGTTAACCAGATACATCTAAGAGGGTCCCTGTGAGAAAGCAGGAGAGGCAGGCGAGCATACCGATCACGAAGTTGGCTTTGGAGGATGACTGCCCATACTGCTGCTCAATGTACTTCGGTTTGTATGTCACCATGCCGAACAGAGAGTTGAACTGAACGGTGCTTGTACATACATATAGGAAGTACACTGGATTTCCAAAGAGATTCCTCAGTGACGGAAGAAAATCTATGACAAAAATAACATAGAGTAATTAAAGTTGGTGTCATGCATGGCAGAAGCAGCGCTGTGTCAGCAGGACTTACAGGGCTGGGCCCATTGTCACGGAGTTTGGGAGTGGTCACAGTGTGGTGTACACACACACTATGTATAGTAAGCCACTGGCATGCATCAAGCCTGCGATCTGGCCACCTTCAAATCCAGACATAGGCACCCATTGCTACAGACATGCAGTATACATTATATTAAAGGTAAAAGTCGGACAAGAATAGATTCCTCTAGCTGATATGCGCAAGAGACAAAAAGGATGAGAATGCTCCCTCACCCACCGTCTCAGAGCCACAGGCAGGAGATAACGACCTTCACTTTTCTTGTCGCTATTCCTCAAACTTAACTTGTGGTCAGTGGGAAAGAAATGTGACAGTTATCTCCATTTAACATATGAACATAAGTGTTAGAAATGAGCGTTGGTCTTCTCCCTTTGTTCTATTATGTAGCCTACCAATTAGACATGTGAAGAATTTCTATAAATGTAAATATTTCTTGAGGGGACAAAAAGAGGGGGACCAATATCATGAGTGGCTGTTGATTTCCACAAAGGGGATTCATTAGAACACTGACTTTTTGCCTGCGGAACAAGTACTCCTTCATTCATTGGTGAGAGACGTGCATTGATACACATCTCTCAAATGAATAGCTCTTATCTGTTGAAAGGCCACCAGCCCCGAAGATTAAGCCTTTTATTTTCTGTATACACAGAGTACACGGAGCAGCAATCCTGGGTGGAGACAGCTGTAGGATCTAAACTGCTGGGGTGTGGGAGGATGGAGACATCAGCAGGAAAGGCTGTGGAGCCTTTGGTAGCATGCTGCAATCAGTTGTTCAGTAATAAAGCTGACATCAGTTTCCATTTTTGCTTCTGATATGGTTTCTCAATTTTTTTAATACATGAAGGGATATAATTTATGAATCTCCTAATGTCCCAACAGGAAAAATAGAAATGCTTCAAAGTCAAGAATTTGACTTACCTCTTGCCATTTCCATTAATTTTGCATTTTCTCCCTGGGGTGTTTGGTAGTCTGTGTGATCATCTGTAATAAACTTGGATTTCTCAGAAGAATCAGAATCCTCTCTACTGAGGGGTCTTGGTAAACTCTTTGGCAAATACCAGAAAGGCACAGCTGCAAGAAGACTTAGGGTTCCGGCTATTAGATAGCCAAGCCACCAGGCTCCGACCCATTGGGGATCTTTTGGGGTGATGGTTACATGATCTGAAAGACAGAGGTGGTGGCTAAGCAATACAAGCAGCAGAGCGAATATGTTGAAATAACCTACCTAAAAAAGTATTCTTGCATAGCTCTACAACATCATGAAAATACCTAGTAATTCATCTGCGTTTTGTTTTGAGCTGGATGTTATCACAGGCATACCTGGGAGAAGTGAATTGCACAAGAAAGAGAGTCACATGAATGTTTTTGTTAGCCAGGGCATACAAAAGTTTTGTTTAACTGCACTGTAGGCTATTAAGTATGTAATAGCATTATATCTGCAAAATGTAAATACCTTAAGTTAAAAAATGTTATTGCTAAAAAATGCTAATGATCACCTGAGCCTTCAGTGAATCTTCACCTGATCTTTTTGCTGCTGCAGGGTCTCGTATCAATGTTGATGGCTGCCTACTAATCAGGGCGGTGGTTGTTGGAGGTTGACATGGCCATGGCAATATATGAACATTAAAAAACGTGATGAGGTCTGCCACATACATAGATGAACTCTTTCCTTCGTGAAAGTTTTCTCTGTAGTATGCAATGCTGTTCAGTAGCATTTTACCCACAATAAAACTTACTTCTTTCAAAACTGGAATCAATCCTCTGAAACTCTGCCACTGCTTTATCAACTAAGTTTATGTAATTTCCAAATCTTTTGTTGTCATTTTAGTAATGTTCACGGCATCTTCATCAGGAGTAGATTCCATCTCAAGAAATGATTTATTCACTTTGCTCATCCACAAGAAGCAACTCATCCGTTCAGGCTTTATCGTGAGATGTCCAGCAGTCCACTCACATCTTCAAGCTTCATTTCTAATTACAGTTGTCTTGCTATTTCTACCATATATGCACTCTCCTTCTCCACCGAAGTGTTTCACACCGCAGTCATCCAGGAGGGTTGAAATGAACTTGTTTCATACTCTTGCTAATGTGGATTTTGACCTCCCATGAATTACAAATGCTCTTAATGGCATCTAAAATGGTCAATCCTTACCCGAAGGTTTTAAATTTACTTTGTCTAGATTCATTAGAAATCATTATTGATTGTAGCTCTAGCTTTATGAAATACGTTTCTTAAATAATAAGACTTGAAAGTCAGAATCACTCTTTGATTCATGGGGTACAAAACGGATGGTATGTTAGCAGGCATGAGCACTTACCTCTTTGTACATCTTCATCAAAGCTCTTGAGTGACTAGGTGCATTGTCAATGAGCAGTCGTATTTTGAAAGGAATCTTTCTTTTTCTGAGCATTAGGTCTCAACCCTGGGCTTCAAATATTTAGTAAACCATGCTACAAAAAGATGTGCTGTCATTCAGCACATTGTCATTGTTCTGTTGATGGAGCACAGGAAGAGTCCGTTTGCAGGAATTGCAGAATGTTCAATGAGCATTGGCTTCAGCTTAATGTCACCAGCTGCCTTAACCCCTAACAAGAGAATCAGCCTGTCCTTTGAAGCTTGAAAGTCAGGATTTACTTCTCCTCCATGGCTGTGGAAGTCCTAGATGGCATCTTCCAGGGGAAGGCTGTTTGATCTACTAGGAAAATCTGGGGTTTAGCAGAGCCACTTTCTTCATGATCCTAGTTCAATATTCTGGATAACTTGCTGCTTCTCCACCAGCACTTGCTGCTTCGCCTTGCACTTCTGTGTTACAGAGACAGCTTCTTTCCTAGAACCTTATAAACCTATTTCTACCAGCTTCAAACTTTTCTTCGGCAGCTTCCTCATCTCTCTCGGGGGTCAGGGTCTTGTTCTGAATTAGGTTTTGGCTTATGTGAATATTGTGGCTGCTTTAATCTTCTCTTCTGACTACTGAAACTTTTATTTCAATAAGGCTATTTCACTTTCTTATCTTTCTTGTGTTTACTAGAGTAGCACTTTTATAATTTCCTGCCAGAATTTCTCTTTTACATTCACAACGTGGGCAACTGCTGAGAGGCCTCCATTTTCGCTTGTCTTGCCCTTCAAATGCCTTCTTCACTAAGCCTAATCTTTTTTAGATTTTGGATTTTTTTTTTTTTTTTTTTTTGAGACGGAGTTTTGCTCTTGTTACCCAGGCTGGAGTGCCATGGCGTGATCTCGGCTCACTGCAACCTCCGCCTCCTGGGTTCAGGCAATTCTCCTGCCTCAGCCTCCTGAGTAGCTGGGATTACAGGCACGCGCCACCATGCTCAGCTAATTTTTTTTTTATTTTTAGTAGAGACGGGGTTTCACCATGTTGACCGGGATGGTCTCGATCTCTTGACCTCGTGATCCACCCGCTTTGGCCTCCCAAAGTGCTGGGATTACAGACTTGAGCCACCGCGCCCGGCCTTTTAGCTTTTGATTTAAACTCAGAGATGTGTGACTCTTCCTTTCACTTGAACACCTAAAGGCCATTGTAGGGTTACTAATGGGCCTTATTTCAATATTATTGTGTCTCAGGAATCGGGAAATCCGAAAAGAGAGACAGGGGAATGGCCAGTGGAGCAGTCGAAACACATACAAGGTTCATTCATTCAATTTACCATCTTATATGGGCACAGTTGTGGTGCCCCAAAACCATTCCAATAGTAACATCCAATATCACATATCACCGATCTCCATAATGGGTATAATAATAATGTTTAAAAACTTGCGGTATTAGGAGAATTACCAAAATGTGACACGAAGACACAAAGTGAACGCATGCTGTTGGAAAAAATGGTGCCTATAAACACACGGTTGCCACACAGCTTAAATTTTAAAAATATATAATAACTGCAAAATGCAATAAAGTAAAGCACAATAAAACCATCTAGGTCTGTATTATCTTTGTTATGGAAGGAAAGAGCGCTTAGATTAAAAATACAGAGTCTAAAGGCTTTCATGATTTTTAAACTGTGCTCTGAGGTTCTGCAGAAAGACCTTGCTAGGAGGAAGACAACACATGAGGGAGAATTTTTAAGGGTCAGAACCTCATGTGGCAGCTTCTCTGTATCAGCACCACTTCTATTTGATTTACATATTGAATGTCTGTATGAGATTTTACTTGAAGAGTTATGCCCTGGACCCTCCGGTCCAAACCTCGTGAAAAACTCTCATTATGATAGTAAATTTGAGACTCATTCAAATCAGCAGAATATTTTTTATTAAGCAGTGGTTAATAATATTTCAGAGCTACTGAAGATACGAAGCAAGATTTGTAGAGCAAAATTTTAGTATCTTATTCATCATGAAATCTTTGTTTTTGACATAATCTCTCATTTGACCAAAAAGTAAATGTTGACAGTTTTTTTTAATTAAACCAAGTGGGTGTTGTTTTCTTCCTGTGTAAGAACTTTATAAACATTTACTATATTCCACCATACACTCTGTGAGAACAGAATAAACACGCGTCCCTTGACAAGCAGGCTCAACTGCCGCCGCGTTAGACTGGGTAAAATGCTTTTCTAGTTTATCATCGCATGTCAGTTGCTTCCCTTAACAATTTTCCTCTGCACTGCTCATAACATCTATAGTTTCTTGTCTTTAAAATCCATGAGTGGATTTTAAACTTCACGAAGTCAAGGAACTCAACTGATTTGTTCAGAGCTACAGAATAGCACCTGGCATAAAGTAAATGCAAAATAATTGGACAGGAACTAATGAATGAATAAATAACATTTTTGAAGCTTGCCTTATTATTTATTTGATTTAAATGCAAGAATTTTGCTTTCTGTTTTAACAGGCAGACTTCAAAATGTAATTCCACGTTTGTTTTTTAAGTGAAACTTGTTTAGTTTGTAAATGATCTCTTGGAATTCTTTAAAAAAATGTACCGACAAATGCCATCTATTTCTAGGTGTGTCTCACAGAGATAGAAACAAATTAATAGCTATGGAAAGATCAGTGTCCTCTCTGCCATTTATTTGCAGTATCCCAGAAGGAAAGCCAGTCTTGCTCGATAATATACTATAACATACTTACACCTAAAAATGACTTGTAGAGTAACAAAAAGGAAGGGCTGTTTGGATGCCAGTGGACGTTTAATCCTTGGCCTTTCTGTCAGGTCCCCAAATACATTATCAATTGATGTAACTGTAATAAATGTTGACACACCTGAAGCCAACAAGAGCCAACAAGTAGCTACAGTTTTCAGTCTTAACTATGCTGGAATGCATTTAACCTGACAAATTATAGTGAAAAAGGATACATCTTAGTAACAAACCGCTGGTCATCCAGTTCTATTCATTAAGGTTTTTCATATTTCATTTATTAATATGCATGATTGACATTTTCATTTTATGAAAGATTACTACTCTGTCACTTTATAAAAAGGCAATTTGATAATTTCCACACTGTTCTCATTAAAAATGTTACAGTAACTAAAATAAATGAATAAATAAAAAAACTCCCTTACCTAGGTTTACAAAGCCAATGTCAACATATAGTTTGGCACATAATGAGCCTAACAGGAAACCAAAGATTGGTCCTATAATTGCAACCGTCTGCACACACCCTGCACCAAGGAAAGAAAAGGGGAAAAAGCTGTCATTTCTTTACTTTGATAAATTAGTAAAATTTTAAACAAGAAATGTGAGATCCAGTTAGCAGCCCAAAATGTTTGAACTCATTTGTATGTGTTTAGTTAATTTTAAAACCACATTGAATCAGGAAATAAGTCCTTCACTGCTTTGGGAGAAGAAGCAACACATTTAAGGCATTAATTATGTCTTAGTAAGAAAATAACATTAATACTCTGAGGAAGTTAATTTTCCAAAATGGAGCAAACCATATTTCCTAGGATTAGATTGTCCATTGACAAAAATTGGAATTGTATTAATTTTGATAGTCTGTCAAAAATGTTTTACAGTCAGTTAAGTGTAAGACTTGTCCTGACATTCATATGGATTTTTCCACTTTAGTAAAAAGTGCATCCATTCATTCCGAGGTTCTGTGGGATCACTAGTGAGAACAGGGCCTATGCAGATCTCCAGATGCAGTTGGCAAAGGTGCTAGGTTTTGGAGCAGGAAAAGTGCTCTCTGGGACCCTCTTGACCATTCAGGTCAAGCTTCACAGGAAGGTGAAACAGATGGCCTAAAGGACACAGTTCTTCCTTCCAAATATCTCTAATCTGTCTTTCGTTTCACCACAAGGCTTAAGACACACGTATTCATGGGAGATTAAGTTAATTGGAAGAAGAAACAGCAGTTACCAGATACTTTTTGTAATAGAGGGGAAAGAGAACACGTTCTGGCTCCTAGAGAAGAAGGGGACACCTATATACCTGTATGCTTCTCCTGGCTGTGACCTTTCCTCCAGTCTCCAGAGTTATTTCCTAGAACAGCTGATGAAGTGTTTGTGGTAGGTGCAGTTCCTGATTTACACTGGAGTTTTCTGTTAGAGTAAGAGCTGTGATCTTACCTATAGCCCATTCAGGTGTATCCAGTACCCTCTGGAGCCCTGCAGAGCATAGCCAATGCAAGATTATACAGTGGACCCCTCAAGATTACACTCTAGCACCCCTCAATGAATTTAAATCTTGCCTCTCTGTCCCTGAAGGTGAGGCCTTTAAAAGATCAGAATTTCAAGAAATGGAGACTGATGTGTGTCAGCACCACAGGAAAGGGTAAAATAACAATTAAAGAAGGAGAGACTGATGTGTTACTAGCTTAATATCAGGACATGAGAGAAACCCAATAAATGCTGTTTAGATGCATCTTACCTTAGGAGTTTGCCTTTGCTATATTATTTTGGTATTTGAGATTTTAGCTGCTGGTCTACTTCCTAGAATGTGTTCCAGAGATGAGGTAGCCTCAGGCCTTACTTCTGTTTTTTTCTACTTTTCTTTACCCATTTTCACCTGCTTTTGAGATCTCAAGATTTTTTGTTGCCTGTCCCTCATAGCTTTAATTAATCAGGGCTTATAAAATGGAAAGCAGTTTCTAAAGCTCAAGAAACAAAGTTTCAAATAAACTAAAATGCCTAAATGCTTTAGTAGTAGAGGTAACCCACTAAAAGGAACCTATGAAGTCTGAAGCCTGTGAAGTTACTTTTACAAGCTCAGACGTCATGGCAGTTACTTTCTTTTAATCTGATGTTTCTCTTCTAATGCAATAGACCCCTCTAACTGTGTTGTCTTTGTCATCCAAATCTTAAGTGCGCTCTTCAGAGATGTGTGAGCTAAATAGAGGAGTTGGATACAAGTATTAAAAGCTTCCACATTTAATTTAACATAGAATATAATTCAGAAAACTAGACACCCTGCTTCCCAAAAAGATGAGTGAAGCAATATTCCAATATTACCAATATAGAAAGCTGCATTGTCTTCACTGGCAAAATCATCCAGGTAGGCAATGCCCAGAGGCTGAATGGGAGTTTCTCCTATTCCACGAAGAAGATTTCCCAGGAAAACATAAATCCACATGGAAGAGCTAGTGTCAACTTCACATTCTTGAAAAAAAGGCAAAGAGGATTGAAAACAGATCACTGTAAAAGTATTTATTCTGTATTTCTACAATGTATCTTAATCAGAACTAGAATGCAGAAGTTTGTGCAATAGTCATAATTTAATGGGAGTTTGGTCAAGTTTGAAAAAACGTTTTATATCTTCAAGCTTTTAGGCAGAGTAAATCCCTGAGAGACTTCACCAGGAAACTCCAGTGCTTCTTGCTCCTGCTGCCTTCACTTTATATTTTCTCTCTTTTTCTTATTTCATTCCTGCCCTGAGCTGTTTGAGTTCCCACACTGCAATGACGTTCAATATCTATCTGTGGCAAAACAGAAAATTTTGAACAAAGTCTTTCTCACTTTAATTTTTAGTTCTGTTTTTCAGCAGAAATCACAAGTAATCTTATTGTTGACCCAGTTTTATCTTAAATTCAAATTTTTATACAGTTGATACTCCAACATTGGGCAGTATTACCTACTTTTATATTTGTTTGTTAGTGAATAACCATTTTTTAGGACTCTGGAAACAAATTTACTTAAACATTATAAATCCCTATACTTTAGCAGTATGGTTATTCCAACAAAAAGATAGCTTTTGACAGCATTTTTAGCGTGAAATTCAAGGATAACAGTTTTTAAATGCTTTCGTAAAATTTGTGTCTTAATATGATCATGAGCAGTAGGATAATTGCCCTCATGTCATAAATGAAATACGGCTTTGAAGGTTTAGCTGATTTAATAAGATTGATAATGTTAACCTCCAGTAATCATCACTCCTGAACGTTCTTTCTCTGTCACGTGCTGAACTACGTGGTTTGCAGGAGTTTTTTAATTGAATTTGCCTGTGAGGTAGGAGTTATTTTCACTTGTTAATAACTCCTAATTTTTGATTGTGAAAAATAGATTATGTGAAGAATGAAGGTGAATACCTTTGAGCAATTGAATCAAACGGCCTAGCAGTGAAGACTACTTTGCCCTCATTTGGATTCTGTCTGACTCTGCCTCTTTCAGAAAAGCTCAAGTGACCATGGAATTTTCATTTGTCTTCTCTGAATTTCTGTTCTGCTTCCAAAAATATAATTTGAATTCCTTTTCTAAAAATCAACTCTAATGTGCATCCTAGCCCTAGCAATTGTGTAATTCTCAGAAGCTTGTTGGTAGGAGAGTCTTGTAGTAGAGGAGTGTAGACACCTTAGGACGGTGCTTTTTAATACAGGAACCATAAGCCACGTGTGCTATTAAAATCGAAATTAAATAAAATTCCGTTTTTCTCTCACACTAGCCATACTTGAAATACCCAGTAGTCGCTGCAGCTAAATGCTACTGTATTGGACAGCAAAGATAGAAGACATTCTCATCATCACACAACGTGCTGTGGACAGCTCTGCTCTAGATGTTGTAGGGGCGATGAGGATTGTATGGGGAGCACTTTTGGGAAGATCCTTGTCATTAACTTACGGGTGAGCCTTGTGTCTACTATGTCTACGAAAACAAACTTTAAGGGAGGAGGACCTCACTTGAAGGAAAGAAAATATTTGAGTTGTGAGTGGTTCTCTATATCTGCCGCTAACTTGTCCCTTTATTAAAAACAGTTTAATTACTGACTCTAAGCCCTGTGTTTTACGTTTCACCTTTGAACATTACTGGATTAAATATTTCCTAACTTGTTGTCTCTTGCAAAACAAAACACCTTCCCTGACTGTATATTGTATACAGATGAAACTGCAGGCTCTTCTGTCAGCTCCCTGCTTCCTTGTGTGAACCTAAATCACATTTATGATCCGTGATATTTTCACATAAACAAGGCTGCCCGTTCTTGCCCTGTGATTTGAATGCATCCTCCCAAACACATCTATTACCTCCTTTCACGTTCTCCTTGTCTAAAATATGTTCCTTCTTTGATTCAGCAGGAGAGGGTAAACTTTTTACATTTCTGTGCTCTCACCTTCCTTCCCCTCTCACATTTCCATGTTTTTAATCCTTTGGCCCCTCCCTTCATTCAGACATCCAGTGTTCATTGCCCAGAAAAAAAAGGCATCTCAACAGAAAGTACTAATGAGAATATTAGGGGAGTGCAAAGGTCTTGTGGAATAGATAAGAGATTTGGACCAATAACAGGTATATATTAATTTTTAAAAGGCTTCCATTCTGCCTGTACACAATGTGATTCTTCAGGTAAGGAGTAGGGGGGGAAGTTGGGAAGTGCCAGGGAAGGAGTGTGGAGCATATTGATGCTGAAGGGAAGCAGAAAGGAGAAGAGGGGATTTGCTCTCCCTGCTTGTACAGTGTCCTAGAGACACTGTAAACGCCTGTGGACAAATTTGTGGCTACTCTGAGTAAGGAAAATCTGTTACCTTGGCCAGGTGAAGCCCAGGCAGGAGGCAAGAGTCTACTTCAGTCTAGTTCAGCATTCCTGCCTTTGATTCACAGGACTTCCAGTGTCTACAGTGATATAGAAAACAGCATTCCCATGTTCCCAAGGGTACCTCAGACAAAGCATTGCTGTGCTGTATGCATCCACCATCTAGAACACTAGACACTTTGGCAAAATCTGCATCCTAGCTTGAGTGAAAAACAGAATTATTTCCTGTCCAAGATGGCCACTTCTGTACTAGAGAGAACTGCTGTGAAACAAAAATATGAACATGGACATAAGATAGCCCCATGGTGACAAATATGACCAAACATTGTGACCCCAGGGGTTTTCAGATACCTAAGCTGGCAGGGAAATGAGAACATCAAGAGCTCCCACCACAGCTGCCCATTTTACTCTTATATAAGCTCCCTGGAATGTAAACAACCCCTGGGGACAAAAAGGGAGGTTAGGGACAAATTGAGATTACATTTTTGCCATTCTGATGAAAAGTAGCTGAACATAGAAATTATATTGACTTATGGGAAAAATCCTTTCATATCTGAGCAATGGATTGAGCTTTGTATGTGCTGAACTCGTTCCACCCTGCTTTCAAGACTCACCTGTTTAGGAGTATTGAAGATTTTCCCAGGCACTATTAATTAATGCTCCTTTTTTCCATAAGATTTGATCATCTGGTATATTTTCTAAGGATTTCATCATTTACTGCTGATGAAATCTAGGTATTTTATGGCACTATGATATCTCAGTTTAAGTAGTAAAGCTTTTGGGAGCAAAAATCATAGACAATTTTGTCCACCCTAAAGCAAATGAAAGTCTTTTTTTTTTTAAAAGCTTGCTTAAAAGTCAAGTCAAAAAAATGATCTTACCGTTATTTATTTTGGATTTTGATTTTTCCATAACTGAGACTGGTAATTGACTGCTTGACTCTAGGAGACACGGAGAGATGCTGAGAGTAGAATTGGAGGAAGGAGAATACCTCTCATATTTGTACCTGTATGAGAAGAATGCTCTCTTCATGATAGACTCATTAACATCATACTAAAAATATTACGTGTATGCTACACAAATCATTGGGGTGCCTGGTTGAGCTTGCAACTGTCTCTGAGTCTGATTCACCAAACCAAACTAGCATTTAACAGCAGATGTTTCTGAAGAGATAGGCAGAAGATCCCGCTCATAGATTACGCCAAGCTTGTCCTACCCGTGGTCTGTGGGCTGCATGCAGCCCAACACAAATTCATAAACTTGTAAAAAATTATGAAAATTTTTGGTAATATTTTTATCTCATCAACTATTGTTAGTATTGTTTATGTGTGGCCCAAGACAATTCTTCTTCTTCCAATGTGGCCCAGGGAAGCCAAAATTTGGATACCCTTGTGTTACATTATACCTGGGCCAGTTAATTAATGAAAAAAAATAGAAGTAAAAAAGTAATCCCAGTACTTTTGGAGGCCAAGGCTGGTGGATTACAAGATGAGGAATTCGAGACCAGCCTGGCCAAGCTGGTGAAACCCTGTCTCTACGAAAAACACGAAAATTATATATTTCGTGGTGATGGGTGCCTGATGTGTTGGGAGGCTGAGGCAGAGAATTGCTTGAACCCTGGAGGCAGAAGTTGCAGTCAGCCGAGATCGTTCCACTACACTCCAGCCTGGGCCACAGAGCTCTCAAAGAAAAGAAAAAGTACTCATCGAGGTTCATCTTAAAGTAAACTAATGACTATAAATCACCTCCCCACTAGGTGAAAACGTATCCAACTTGATAAAATCATGATTTTCTCTGAGTCAGAGAAAGAGCCATAAGTGAACAGTGTATTAGCATCAGCATACTTTATTTAGAGTTGTAAATTTAGTAGGACAGTTACAAGGCTGATTATGGAAAATGGAAAATGACACATGGATTTTGTACCCTTTATCCTGATGTTATTCTGCTTTTTCTCTACTGCTTGCTAGAATAGCACAAAGTTACTTCTAGTTCTGCTCTTTCCCTCATGTATAAGGCTACGATAGCAGCTGGGATAAACAGCCATTGCTTAGTGGGCAGCCTGTGATGGTGCTAATCAACAGTTTCCCCAGCTCCACTCTTGGACTCAAGTTATCCTTCATGCCCCCTGTTCTCCACACTCTTTGTACCGCTTGGGGAAGAGGTATCTGGTAAGAAAACATCCCAGCATCATCTTGATTCTCATTTTATTCAGGCACTTGTTGACCAAAGGCTAGTATCATAGGAATAGACACTGGCAAATTAATAGTAAAGAACTGTTTATTCGGCATATAAAGAAAAGATGTATTATTAAAATATTCACACTGATAAATAAATTAGCTTAAATCTGTCTTGTGCAATCTACATCTCAATGGGTTTATGAACCCCACTGAAAAAGTAAGAACATTTTTGTATGTATGTTTTCATGTGAATGCTTAAGAGAAGAGGGTTCCAGTTATTAAAATTTTATCAAATGCTTCCCTGACCAGAGTAGGTTAAGAATCACTTGGTGAAGTTGACCGTTTTCAATTCTTCACCACATATGACACCATTTAGCGCTGAAGTCACGGTAGATATAATTTTATTTTGGTAATAATTACAGAGAAACCATTGACTGTTACACTGCTTCAAGACTATTGAAGTGAGAATGGATGGTGATCATATAGTATTTTGAAAATTGTGATTATTTTAACTCAGTTCCTTCTGTCAACAGGTTACTGTTGCAAGCATCATACTTGTTTTGACTTTATCTAAGTGCCACTTTTGTTACTAATTACTATCTGTGATTCTCTAAAAAAAATAATGTTTAGGTTTTAATTTTCTTAGTTGTAAAATGAGAGGTATGGATGTGGTCTGTACCTATTTAGACTCTGTTGGAAAAGAGACAAAGATGTAATTAATTAAGTCTGGGACTAATATTATAAATGCTTTTATATTAGGGACTTTATTTCTGACCTGCGTTCAAGTCCTGACTGATGCATTCGACTTTGATGTAAGAAATTTTATATTAGTCTCCTAAACAGTCTCCCTGCTCCCAAGCCTGCCCACCAGAGTCAGTTCTCCAACTAGCAGTAAGTGTGATCCTTTAAAAATATAAGAAAGATCATGTCACTCTACTCAAAACTTCCTAACAACTTCTCATGTCATTCAGAGGACAAGCTAAATACTTGTCACTGTCCTGACTTTACGACTCAAAGGATGGTCTCCAGATCAGCAACATCAGCTGAATCTAGCCCTGACCATCCCCAGGGCTGCTGAATCACAGTTTGCAGTTTACCAAGAGCTCAGGTGATTCAAATGCCCATCAAAGTGAGAAACAACCTTGACATAGCCTCTCATCCCCTTTTACTTCTCAGCGTCCATCTTCTGTGCTTTCCCACGGTCACTGCATTTTAGCCACACAGGCCTCCTTGCAGGTCATCCATGCCCCAGACTTCCCTTGCTGCAGAGACTTTGCCTTCGCTGTTCACTTAGGCTAGACGTCTTCTTCCCCAGATATCCACGTGGCTCTCCCCTTTACCATTATCGGATCTTCCTCAAATGTCACCATCTCTGTGAGCCATACGTTGACTACCCTACTTTGCCTTCTCTGTTCACTTAGGCTAGACGTCTTCTTCCCCAGATATCCACGTGGCTCTCCCCTTTACCATTATCGGATCTTCCTCAAATGTCACCATCTCTGTGAGCCATACGTTGACTACCCTACTTTGCCTTCTCTGTTCACTTAGGCTAGACGTCTTCTTCCCAGATATCCACGTGGCTCTCCCCTTTACCATTATCGGATCTTCCTCAAATGTCACCATCTCTGTGAGCCATACGTTGACTACCCTACTTTGCCTTCTCTGTTCACTTAGGCTAGACGTCTTCTTCCCCAGATATCCACGTGGCTCTCCCCTTTACCATTATCGGATCTTCTTCAAATGTCACCATCTCTGTGAGCCATACGTTGACTACCCTACTTTGTACTTCAGCCACCGTGACCCACCACACACACTCTTTATGTGTCTTCACGGGGTTATTTTTCTCTATAGTTCTTACCATTCCCTGACATATTGTATTTGTTTATTTTCTGTCCCCTCCTCAAAAAATCTATTAGGGCAGAGATTTTTTTTTGTCACTACTCTTTCTTTGCTGTCTAGAAAAATTATATGCATATATGTATACATATTTGCTAAATTAATGAGTCAAATGAGCTTACACATAAAACTAAACAGCCTATTAGGAATAGGCCCTCAGTAGTTGCTATCCATGATTAATCGCTTTTGTTGGACATCAAGGATATTTCTGTGAAGGAGACAGAGCATAGTTATCTACCCTATGAATATCACATTTTGAATAAGCACCCAATTAGTGACTAATTCTGTGTAAAGCTGGAAGTAAATTATAGAGATAATCCTCAGTAGAATGCAAGCTTCATGAAGGAAGGATTGTGTGTGTTCTTGTTTTGTTTTCTCACAGAAATAGGTCCATTACCTGACATTGTACCTGGCAAGTATATTAAATAATAAATAAACAAATAGGTTCTCTAGCATATCAAAAATGTTGAATAAGAATCTGTCTCTGTCCCTTTGGTATCCTGTGCCAACGTTAGCCTGTCTGGTTGTCCCACCTTCTTTTTGATACATGTTTCCCTCTGATTTTCTTATGTGCGTGTTCTATATTTGACACTAACTTAAAGTAATAAAATTATTAATATGTATACAGCAGCTTTAAGACAAAACCATTGCTGGTTAAAAGCAGGTGGCCTAAGGAGCTAAGAGGATTGATAACATGGCTACCAGTTAGGTTGGTAACCATGATAACCATTTTACCTGTGTCATCTCACTTAATATTTGCAATGACATTATGAGCTAGGTATTATTTTAAAAACCTATTTTAAGATGCAGAAACTGAGACCTAGAAAAATTAAGTAATGTAGCCACTGCCGCATAGAAGATCCACTGCATAGTGATTTAAGTCCGGAGTACTGGGTTTATCGATCCTGTGTGACTACTTTTACTTTTTAAATTTTTTCAGTAGTAGAACTGCTTGTCCCTCTGAGCAGACTGTCACATGGAGGCTCAGCGCATCAGTACATAACAGCAACACAACTAGGGATCAAGCAGGAGTTAAGCAGATTGGAGACCCATTTTCTCATTCTTCTCTTTTTCATTCTTCCTGTAGAATGAGCTTTCTACAGAGGCTCAGTGGTAAAGGAAACTTCTGCCCTATGGAAGGAGGCTGTCCAAAGAGCAGGCAGAAATCCCCCAATTACAGAACCGCCTCCAAGTAAAAACTTAGGGTCCAGGGAATTCATCCAAATGGGTAGAAAAGCTCCCACTCAGACAGTTCTGTGCCCTACCTTGATAGATTGGCCAGGAAGGTCAAAATCTGACTTTACTTATATAAGTAGTCTAGAAATTCAAGAAAAAGTGCAGACTAGGTTATTTTCCGGCTCTAAACTGTCTGGATACAATGATTTGGAGTGCACAATAAAGTATCACTTGAAATAAAAGTTTTAAAAAATATTCTCTTACTATGAAACCTTTTGGTATTCATTTCCTTTTCAGCAATAGATAAACAGAGAGAAGGGCTGTGAAACGGATATGCACGTAGGCTGCTGCCAGAGAAGTCAGCTGACTTGTTTTAGGGTTCTGGTTTCATAATTACAAGACACCTAATCTTGCAAAAGTCATCAGACTCTTCAAGTCATGGGGTCTGCTTCTTAGCTCTAAAGTAAAAAAGATAAACTATGCTCTCCTACCCCACAGATTGCTGTAAGGGTAAAAATGATATGGGTAAAAATCTTTAGAACTGCTAAAGTTGTATGCATGCATTAACAAAAGTACCAAAAGTAGACTTGAGTTAGAGGATAGAGACACCCCACTTCTATTGATAAAGGTCTAAGAGATACTTTTTGGACATTGAATAGTTGTGTGAGTTGATAATATATCCCCAAGTTAATTATCTACCAGCCAGTGTTCCATAATCCAGAATTTATTATCTGCAGTATTTATTAACAATGATCTGTTCGACATTCACCACATGCTAATTTAGTTTCAGTCACGTATTTTTCCTCCACAGCTAAATTAAGGCATTTGACTCAGAGCATAGTAGGTAAAAATCTTCTTTAATCTTCTCATTATACCCTAATCTACCAGTTTTTTTTTACAGTTTGTCCGAAGAAAAATTATAAAATTGTTCTAAAACGTTATCCAAAGACAATATAATAAAAGTAAGACAAAATTACCATGGGTCAAGCTTAAATTTAAATGATTAAACGCAAGGAAGACATGATTGCTTTAGACTTACTGCTCCATGAAGAACTGAGGCATTGCGATCAGCACTGTTCCAACTCCCATGATTAGACACCCTGCTCCAATTATTTTTGGCCTGTGAAGTTTGGCTCCAAAGTAGCTAACAAATGTTATAACTAGGAGATTCCCTTTGAGGAAAAAATAAAACATCATAAATTAGAGAACTTAGGAGTATATAGCAGATCAAACAATGTTTTCTTTTGACTAAGCTATCTCCACATCATTTAATTTTTCCTTTAATCTGAGATGATTCTTGAAATTCTTCTGTACATGCTTCAGTCAGTTCATCCCTTTGTCAAAATATTTTAATTTCAATCCTTCACTTCACCCAACCTAATTACTTGTCCTTGTAAAAACTTTTATTGGCCAGGCACGGTGGCTCACACCTGTAATCCCAGCACTTTGGGAGGCCAAGGCAGATGGATCACTTGAGGTCAGGAGTTAGAGACCAGCCTGGCCAAGATGGTGAAACCCCGTCTCTATTAGACAAATACAAAAATTAGCCAGGCGTGGTGGCTCACACCTGTAACCCCAGCTATTCGAGAGGCTGAGGCAGAAGAATCACTTGAACCCGGGAGGTGGAGGTTGCAGTGAACTGAGATTGCACCATTGCACTCCAGCTTGGGCGACAGAGTGAGACTCTGTCTCAAAAAAAAATTTATCAGTAAGTCAAATGCCCCTTTTCCTTCTCTCTTAAATATTTTTTAGTAATTTTGAAGTAAACTTCTTTTTTCTCATTCATTAAAATTTTTAATGAAACTTCCATTAGTGTTCTAATTGCTTGTGAAATACAAATAACAAATTCTTTCTCTTGCTGATATTCTTTACAGAAAAATTAAACACAACTGCACTTCACTTTAAATGAAATAAAATGATGAAACACATTTACACAAACGATACTTTATGATTTGTTCGTGCACTTTGTAAAAAAAAAGATTGACTCACAATAGAAATAAAATTATTCCACATAGGGAACTTTAGGTTTACATCAAGTATATAACCTCAACATCTGCCTAAAAGTAAGACAAAATATAACACAAATTTGATAAAATACAAAGTCTTTATAAAATATGCCCAGCTATCTCTTTTGTGAAAAATGGTTTAAAATTATTGGGGTTTTTAAAAGTAGAAATTAGGCTTTTCTAAAATGTCTCTAATAAAGCATGTGATATATGACTTTTAGTTGGTGATGGTAATAAGTGATTAAACATATTAATCAAGTAATATTTCTCATGCTTTGCTGTGCATAAAAATACTGAAAGGAAATGGTTAAGGAAATGGAACCCTGTTAAAAATGCAGATTCTTGCCAAGTACCAAAGTTTCTGATTCCCTGGGTCTGGGGTCAGGCCAAGAAATCTGCACTTCTCTAATACTAACTCAGACGTGTTGATGAAGATGGCTCCTGGAACACGCTTTGACAAACATTGTTTAGGGTTTTAGACTTCAAGCGATTTTAAAGTTTTAGCTATATTTATTTGGGACATTTAATTTTTAAGATGTACAGTGCCAGCTAGAGTAAGAATTTAACAATTTCCCAGCAGCTGCCTGTGATGGCTAATGGGTGGCTTTGCTTTGAAGTTCTCCTGATTTCCAGTGTTTCAGATAGAGCGTGTATCCCCACATCTGTACACAATCATCTAATTTACTACTGTTCAGTCACATTGCCAGCTTTAGTAAACTGGAAATAAAGCAGTAATTTTTATAAGCTTGAGGATAATAATAATGATAGTGAGAACTGTGACTTGCACAGCGGTTCTGGTCTTTATGGCTCCAGGAAGAATTAAGTTCTTCTTAATGTTCAGATTAAAACACCAGTACATGAGCACAGGGTGTCTCATTTGAAATTTATGTATTTAGTAGAAGACATTGTATATCATATTTTGATAATTCTATCCATATGTTTGTTAACACAACATATGTCCCACAATAAATAAACCAATATAAAATGATAGCTGACTTTTACTTTATAGGCAATTCTCTCCTACCCTTGCCTACACTTCACCAATATCACACAAGGACTTCTGTTTACCAGCTATTTCCGTATTGTGTGTGTATGTGTGTGTGTGTACGCGCACACACACACACATATACATATATGGTATATTGATATATACTGTATCTATAGAAGTTTTTGCCTCCTTGGTATCCTTTCTGAGTTTTCAGGAGATACACTTGGAATATAAATGATGATACATAATCTTTAAAAAATGAACTTGGATATCAAAATTCTTCCACATCTACCACCATTAGCCTCTCACAAAAATAAGGTACAGAAAGTTTTAGAAATGTGTCTTCCCAAACTTTAAGGTAACAGATTCTTGCTCTCTTCTTTTTCTGTCTCTCTCTCCGCGCGCGCGCACACACACACACACACACACACACCACATGCGCGCTCTCTCTCTCTCTCTCTCTCTCTCTCTCTCTCCAGGTAACAGAAAAGAAAGCAAGCTGCTCAATTCGTCTTGTGAGACTACTATTTTTAGAAAACCAAACTGAACAAGGAAGGTATAAGAAAAGAAAAGACAATTCGAACCCAAACTTGGTTATGAAGATAGATGTAAAAATCCTAAACAAAATATTAGCAACCTGAATAGTATATAAAAATAAAAATATCCAAACCAAGAGCAGTTTATTATAGAAATACAAGAGTACCACCAAGTAAAAATGTTATTAATTAAATGGAATCATGGTTAACTTAACAGACATAGTAAAAGTACTCAGTACAATTAATCATTTATGTTAGGAAAAAACAAATCTGAGCAAACCAGTTTTTAAAGTCCATCTATCAAAACCACAAAGCAAGCATATTGCTTAATACTAAAAATTAAGTATTTGCCTCAAGGTCAAACATAAGAGAAAGAGGGCCATTGCAAAAGCTTCTCTTTTACATAGTACTGAGGCTAGTGTGATGGGGTAATAACAAGAAAAAACAGATCTAAGAGTTGCAAAGAAAGATATGAAATTACATTTTGTTTCAGGGAATTTGTCTATTTCGAAAACTTGACAATTTCAATGGAAAATCAATTAAAAGGGATAGAATTTCAACAAAATTGCCACATACAAATAACATAAAGATAGAAGATGGTATTGGTTCCAGAATCTTGGAAGGAGGGAATGTGAAAAGAGGCAAAAGAAGTAAATTAAGATTATGTTCAGGAAAGTCACTTGTCTGGAAATTTATATAATTCAAATAATCAGGGCAAACCAGTGACGTTTGGGATAAAGGTTTTCAATGGAAGTAAGAGAACTTTTAAGCCATTTTAAGGCAACTAATCCAATAAATAATTTATATACCTAGGATGGTCTGGAAGAATTAATGTGAATCTAGAGTCATGGTTTTTTGCTATTTTCTATGAAAACTTAGCACTCTTTGTCAAATATAGACTTTTTCTCTCAAGTTTCATCGGGTCCTGGGAGCCCAAACCAAACTTTGGACCTTATCATTTCTATGCCTTTTCAGCTCTAACATATTTTTAAACAATAATCTAGAGAGAGAAAAACATCAAAGCATCATGATATATAATTTTTTAACTGCCCATGTCTGCTCTGTTCTTTTATCTGCACCAGTTACCTCTTCCTCCTCGTTTCCTCTCCTGAGGAAACACTGATGCAGTGTGTCACCCTTTACTTTGGTTCTCTCTGGCCCTTCATTCAGTGTAGGGCTAACCGTAAAACAGAGGTCCAGGAATAAATCAGCCATCTGAGCCAGTCTAAGCAGATTACGTAAATGATTGATGGGATAAGATGTTTCTATTCAATACATCACACAAAATGTGATGTATAGAATAGAAGCATCAGCATCATTTAGGAGCTTATTAGAAATGCAGAATTTTATCCTCTTTCTACCAAATAAGGTTTTTAAAAAGAGTTAAAAAGATTTCCCAGTTATTTGTATGGACATTAAAATTTGATTGGCACTAAGAAAGGTCATTCTGGAAGGATGATAAAAGGTGAATTTGGGAAGCAAATGCCTGAAGGCAAAAGGTTACTTACTCATTTAATTTTTTTCTGTGACATTCAGAGTAAGAACTAAACACATAGTATGAGCAAAAATTGTTGAAGAGTTGAAAATTATTTATTCAGTTTTTCTGCAAGTTCACCAGGTAAAGCTAAAATTGGGGCAGTTAGAGGTTTTACTGTTGCATAGACCTGAGTCTAAACAAGCATTAAGGACCAGAGAGGGTAATATTTGGTTTATTTCAATAAAAAAATTAAGTTTTTTAGTTTAAGAGTTTAGCAGCAGACTAGGATTATCCTCTTTAAATTACTTCTAAAACAGTCACTCAAATTACTTGGTCTTTTTAAGTTCTAAGAGTCATAGTCAATGGGTAACTGAAGACACCTAAGAGTGGAATTTTTATTGCCTTCTCTTATTTTGTGTTCTAGGTCATAGAATCATTTTATTCTTTCTAGGCCACTGGGTGGAAAAATCCCTTTTATTATATAACTTCTTTCATCTTTCTTGATTCTCTTTGAATATTCCCATTGTAGAGTCCATTTGGATTATTTCACATTTCTAAAATTGAATCATGGGGCTGCCAGGGTATATTGTTCTTCTGTAAAGATACTTCTATAGATTTGTAACTCAAAATACCAATTAGCATCTCACCCTCTCCTCTAGGAAAGTCTCTTCCTCTGATGTGGAGCTCTGAATTGTATGAACCATATAATACTGAACACCTGGGGAGAGAAATTTACCGTTGTTGCTCGAAAGAGAAAACTGCCTCTCCTGTAGGAAAAGATCATGGCTAATTCTGTCCAAAAAAAGATTTTATGAATAGAGTCAGATTCCAGCAGGCAACAGGATGCAGACGATGTCCCTTAGCCATGCCTAGAAGATCTTGGGCTTAAAAGTAAAGTCAGGCATCTGTAATACCTACCAATTTCAAAACTACCATCAATAACTCCCACCAGTGAAGAAGGAATATCAAACCTTCTCTCTATCTGGGTGATGGTGCTCTTCAGATAGCCTTCTGCCAATGCTTTGGCAAAGTAAACGAAAGACAAGGCACCCAAGAACACCTGGAAAATATGACAGATCACACTTAGTCTGCCTCCAGTTGGACACACAATTGGAAATTTACTAAGCAGTCAAATACAAAACAAATAACAAAGAACAGTGTATAGTATCAACTTTATTATCACTGAGACTTTAATTCAAACACTATTCAAGGTTTCCCTCAGCCTTAAACACATGTAGATTTTCAAAAGTTCAAATGCTCTTGGAATTTAAAATATGTATTTTGTTTTTATGTGAAATGTGTGTTGAATTGTCTTTTGTCTTCTTCCACCCTGTTCCAAAGGGACACTCAAAGGAGTCTCATACTGAAGAGTGAGTGTGTGGTGATATTCCTTATTAAGAAAATAAAACAAGTGAAACTGTAAGCCAAACATTTGACATCTTATAGCAAGTCCAGCACTTGGAATTATGTATTTCACAGGGTGGTGCATGTACCAGCAGGGAACATCATGCATAGACTGAAAAAGTGCAACTATTATTCCTTGTGTTTATATTTATACTTACTAAATTCATAGTCAAATGTTTTTTTCAATGGAAAACATGTCTTTGACATCTAGCTTACAGTTTGCTAGACATGAGTCTGTGACGGAGCATTCATAGGGAAGGTGGTTAGCATTTATATGAAAAAAGCAAAGATTCGTTGGGTGAATATTTGCATAAAGATTAGGAGCTTGGAGCACACAGAGCACCCTTTAAAAAGCAACTCTTCTTGCTGTGTAACATTATTCCCATTTTTATTTGCAAAGTTGGAGTGATGTGATGGTACACAGATTAAATGTTCTGTCTGTGCTTGGCATAGTATCTGGTACATGGCAGAAGTTGAATAAATATTAGTTTCTACCGTCTCTCTCTTTTCTATTTAGGAGGGGCATTTAAATAAGCCCAGGAAAGTCATTTAACATACATACTCAGGCAGAGATTGTAGTGTCTGGCAAGGTGTGGCTTTAGTAAATCACATTTAAGATCATTTTTTTGAAAGGAGAAGAACTCATTCTAACTTATTCATACAGAAGATACCTGGATAGAAAGCCAAGTGCATTAACCCCATTTACTTCCTGGTTACTCTACCTTTAGTTCACCACAGCACGGCTGCTTTTCCTCTGAGGAGGGATATTCTGTTTTAAAAGAAGGCCTTCCAGCAGGTTGCACTGAAGTTTTGCAGAATAACTGGATATTTTCTTTGGATGAAGTGTCCATTATAAAAACGTTCCTTGACTCTGATCTGTCAAAGTTAGTTTTTAAAGTAAAAAAAAATAAATACTACAACATGTATTACTTTTTTTAAAATTCAGCAGTATAGCACAATTCTATAGACCCAACCTAAAGTGGATCTACCTTTTGTTGTCACAGTAAGTTGGCAATTTTTTTCAATTAAAATCAACCAGGATATTTGATTAACTAATCCTGCTATTATTGGAACTCTGTAGTCAGCATTCTTTCTCAATCCCTCCAGTTTAAGCCTCATTATGGCAAAGACTAAATTTAAGTGTTTCCTTTGGAATAAATAACAAGACAGAATTTTGCTAACTTTGTGGTCTTGCCAGTTTAAACTGGGAGCAAGCAGGAAAGGAACAAGAGGAATTCAACTATTTGAATATTGATTCGTTAGAATAAAGTCTTGAAAGCCTTTAAATCTATCTTCTTAGTAAAAGAAATAGAAGAAGTTGACATTCATTATAGCCTATACCACCTTACGATTCCTGTAGCACCCAACGTGAGGCTTGAAATATGACAGAAAAAGAAGAGATCCAATTTGTGCATTGTTTTTGTTTGACAAATAAGGAAGCAACATGATTTGTGCCTCGGGCTTAGATTTAATTCAGGTGAAAAGGCAGTCTTTGATCTGCCTTAAGTAAAAAAGATGGCCTTGCTTCCCATGCTCAATTTCCCGCCGCCCCTCACAGGACAGGATCACACACTGAACCTGTTTTCTCTCTGTTCACATGAATAGGTACATATTCTGTGCCCCTACTTCTTTACAATTCCACATGGCTCAGTGCCTGCCTGATAATCTAACCTAAATCAGTAATTCAACAAATAAAACAATTTCTGGGTCTCCCTAGTATTACCAGATGACACAACGGTACGTTAGTAGAGGACTTCTATGTCCACGTCACACCAGACAAGTAACGCTAGGAGTCAGATTTCATGTTTATGGCAGGAACTTATTCTGACTATATGTACAGCCCCTGACTTTCTGTAGTGCTTGTTCTGTGTTTACTGAACCTCACCCTTCATCACTTCAATTCGTAGACACCATCCCAAACTGAAAAATCAAGTAATAGTAGTATACTCAATTTGTTTTATATTAATAATGTGAACTTAAAGCATAGAAGACCTCAACGATTTAAAAGTTAAGTGGATTCTTCCAGGGAGTGGAAACGAATAAAAGGATGAGGCATGAGAGCCTGATTTTAAAAAAACTATTGTTAGGCGTTTTGATTCATTTTATGAACATGCATAACTTTAATTTTTTTAATTGAAAAAGAAAGTGACTGAAACCAGAAATAATTAAAAACAAAAAATAAGCCACACAAAAAGCTAATAATGCTAATCAAGATCAAAAATGACACAAATACATATTAATAACCTAAAAACACAGATATTTAGGAATATAAGACATAAAAAGATGCATAGAATATAGAAATAAGTTTCATACCTTGACTTAATGGATTGGTTTCTAGCAAATATTCATTACCTCTATTCATATAAACCAGAAAAGAAAAATAGCCAAGAAAGACATTATCAAAAATATTCTGAAACTATTCCCTAAACAAAGATACTAAGCATAGATGATATGCCAGAAGTACTTTATCAAGGGACATTTTTCGAGGAAAGATAGCAGATAATGGAAACCCATAATCATTGTCTCCATTAGTTTGACAAAACTAAAATCATCTAGGCAACAAAACAGCATAAAGATAGCACAGAAAGGAAAACTTCAGATTCAGCCCAAAGATTATAAAATTCTAACTAAAACGCTAGCAAATCCAAATTAACTTTGTTCTATAATTAGAATTATTCTAAAAGATGTAAAAATTGGCTACTTAAATTCATTCACCTAAATTACCACGTGAATGATTAAAAAAAAAGAATTTCAGTAGATAAAAAACATCAGTTGATAAAATTCAACATCTATTGCCGATTTTAAAAACAAAGTGTAAGAAATGAAGAATATAGAGATTTTTCTTTACCAGTATCTGATAACATCAGCCAACCTCCTCTGTCTACTGAGTCACTGGGACTACTTTTCTAGAACAGTGTTTTCCAGAACAGTGAAAACAGGGTTTGGGAAACACAGAGTTCTGCAATATTAAATAGATATCTTTACTACAAAACTAAGTAAAAAATATTACCAAGTAAGAGATACACAAACCAGAAACATTTTTAAATAAGAAATGAATAATTCTTAAATTTAGAGCTTAAATTGCAATCTTCTTCAAAGGATGAAATTATATAATTCAACTTGGCCTTCTATTTTAGGGATTCAGATATCATCTTATTTCTCATCAGCCATAATATTTAGTGATCAGAAAATACAAATACAGTGTTTAATAATAAGATATGCTACTACTTATCCCAAATTTATCTTTAAAAGATCCAGTGTTACATGTAGAATGCTAATGCCAAAGAGAAAAATAATTATGTTAAAAATACTGCTGAAAGGCTTGAGATGCTATAGCACATTTTAAGTTATCTAATTATGGAGGTGTTGACACAAAAATCACTGTAACTGGAATTCAGAAGTGATAATGAAAGATAAATATAATCATCTTAGTTCACGTTGTGTTAGGGCCAAATAGTTTCCAGCTTAAAGTGCTGGCACTGCCTAGCTTTACTGAAGTGTCTTGGTGTCTAATGCACAAATTACTGCAAGAGTGGTATGTTCCAAGGAGGCTCCAGTTCATGCCCTGTGAAAAGAGAGGGAAGGAAGCTCAATGACATGAATGGAAAGATCCTTGGAGCCTTCAGGCTCTCTCTCTTCATTTGCAACTGCAGAAGTAGAGCAAGGTACACAGTTATTCAGAATGGTTTGCATTTGGCAAATCGTTAATTGATCTCTGGCCTCTTGAATAGATCCTTCCAGGAAAAGACATATGACAGTTTTCATCCAATCCCCTGGGTTTGGAGTGAAGTCAGAGAAAAACAAGCCAAGCAGTTTCTCTTCCTTTGAGTTCAAAAAAATTGAATAATCTTTCCTCATGAGTTTGATTATCATCCCTCCAGATTTTAAATGGAGAGCATGAGGCTTACGAAGGTTGTAGTTAGATCACACAGATGGACTCAACCCCTCTGCTCTGCAGTTGACTCGGACTCTGTCCAGCAATCAGTCTCCAAGGACTGCCACAGAGAAAGTCCTAGAGGCAACCACGCTCCTCCCTCTCTTCTCCTGGCCATCTCCCATGAGGAAAACCTCTGTCCTGGCTTGACTTCTAGACACCGGGATGACTGCCTTCAGGCGAGCCGAAAAATAGCCTCATGGCACTTGCTGGAGAGGAATGTATGTTGTTTGGAAACTAATTTCCCACCCAATACAAATTATTTGTGTCAGATTCAGATTTAATAAGTACTATTTTTGTGTGGGGTGATGTATGTACCTTTTCTAATCCTTAAAATAACTCAACAAGCTTAGTATTAGAATTCTATTTTTAAAATTAGATGGCCCAAAGCAATTAAGTGACTTGTCAAAAGCTAAACAACTTCTAAGTATCAGACTCAAAATTTGAGCTCAGTTTTGAGTTTATCTAATTTCTTTAACCAATCTCCTCTCTTATTTCCACCAAAAACTAATGAGGGGCTTATCACCTCGCATTGAGAATTTTTGTGGATAAAACATAAATAGGACAGAAATTAAGGGTTAACTAATGTCCCATAACAATCTGATCTATTAGTCACAAAACATGAAATGAGAGAACCAAGTCTTACCTGGAGGTAGAAATCAAAGGTAGCCAGTTCCTCTCAATGTGCTCAGCAAGACTGAAAGAGGAAACTGAGGTAAACTCCACAGCAATTTTGAACAATTTTATCAGGTGGGGGGAGCATGGGTGGACACAGGCAGAGCGAATTAGGGAAAAGAAAAGATGAAGGGCATGGTCTCACCCCTCAGCAATCTCTTCTCTTTCCTCTTTCCTCCCAGCCTCTTTTTTCTGGCAGTCAGCAGAGAATTGGCCAGGCTGGCAAGGCCACTGACGTGCATCTCAGCTCCCAGGGCACAGAAAGAGCTGAAGCTTTTGAGCCATTTCTTTGCAATTTGCTGCAAGTTTAAGGCCACACGTGATAAAGCTTTCTTTATGGGAGAGAGTGAAAAAAAAGAAAAGACCACTTGTGATCTTACTTGCTGATTCCCAGAAAACACAACTCCGCAGGGGGCAGAGGGTGAGGGAACAGAAGCCAGAGGAGGGACGGAAGTTTATAACAAAGACCCCTCCTCCTTCCAAAAAGATTTTAAGCCAACTATTCCTTAGGGACATCACTGGGATCCTTATGTTTTCTTTGTTTGTTTGTTTTGTTTTTAATGGTTCTTGGGCGAATTTCCTACATGATTTTCTTTTCCACTGGTATTCTAGAATCTCTAGGGACCAAGTATCAGGTCACAATCAAAGCTCTGCAGGGCTCTGTACAGAAAGAGTTAATTTTCAGAGACATGATCAGTTGCCCATATTTACAATTTCTATGAGTTTTGAAAACAGGAAAAAGAAACACATTGAATTTTTGGCATTCAATTGTTTATTTTGCCTAAGTCCAAGGATAAAGAAATCCTTGCACTGAGAAAGTCTGCAATTTTAATAAATTCCTTTTCCAAAGGAACAACCTTAGAGAATCTTAAGCATTATTACTTTGCATGTGCTTTCTACCAATAAATAAATTCGCTACCAGAATTATCCAAGATTCACCTTCCTCTTAAATGGCTGAGACGCTGGGTTAGTCACTTAGTTTTACTGAGTCTCAATTTCTTTGTAAAGCAGAAGTTTTTGTTAAAAAAAATCAGATTTATAGAGCTGTTTTAAGGATTAAATTATATAATGTATTCAAAAGCACATTGCAAATAAATCACTAGATGGTATCATCATTTTTTATATATTTAGTTCACGTAAGAGTCAGTATGGTTAATCAGTATTACTCTTCAAAAGAATACATTTTACTTCAAAAGAAAGAAAAGAAAATGCTAGACAAATAGGGTTTATCTTAAACCTTTCAATGAAGCAATGGTGTCTCCAGACTCTGAAAGGCCAGATATTTTATTTTAACAATCAAACCAGATTTTTCCATTGGAAATAGTGAGCAAACATTTGAATACATTGAGTGTTAGTGTAGACCTTTCAGTGTCTGACAGGTGGCCAAACCGCTGTTGTATTAAAGAGGAGATAGCATTTATAGCCCAAAGGGCACAGTTTTCCTCACCAAGAAATGAAATTCTCCCCTGAGAATGTAATTTGATCTGTTCCAGACTGACTCAATTTCACTCTCCAACATGATTCCTTTTCTTATTTCCAGAGTCCACGGTTAATGTTACAGTTAATTTTTACGCTTATTCAGAGCTCTTGTGTGCAACCGTGCATTGGATTGTAGCTGACTTCAGCCTTTCATTCCATTTCCAATCTCCAGACCAGGGGTTAACAAACTTCTTTTATAAAGGGACAAGTTATAAATATTTTAGGTTTTGTAGAATATCGATTCTATCACAACCACTCACCTCTGCCATTGTGGTGTTTAAGTCACTACAGACAATATATAAACGAATGCATTTCTTTTCTTTTTTTTTTTTTTTTTTTTGAGACGGAGTTTCGCTCTTGTTACCCAGGCTGGAGTGCAATGGCGTGACCTCGGCTCACTGCAACCTCCGCCTCCTGGGTTCAGGCAATTCTCCTGCCTCAGCCTCCTGAGTAGCTGGGATTACAGGCACGCACCACCGTGCCCAGCTAATTTTTTGTATTTTTAGTAGAGATGGGGTTTCACCACGTTGATCAGGATGGTCTCCATCTCTTGACCCCATGATCCACCCGCCTCGGCCTCCCGAAGTGCTGGGATTACAGTCTTGAGCCACCGTGCCCAGCCACGAATGCATTTCTTAACACTGCAGTAACGAAGTGCCACAAGCTGAGTGACCAAACAGAACTTGATTGTCTCAGACTTTTGGAGGCCAGAAATCCAAAATCGAGGTGTCAGCAGAGCCATGCTCCCTCTGAGACCTGTAGGGAAGAATTCTTACTTCTTCCCCTCCTGGTATTTGCTGACAGCCCTTGGAATTCCTTGTTTTATGGGAGTATCACTTCAACAGCTGCTTCTGTTACCACATGGCCATCTTCTCCCTTTTTGTCTCTGTCTTCTGTTCTTAAAAAGACACTAGTTCTCTTTGTCGAGGGTCCATCCTAAAGACCTCATCTTAACTTGGTAACGTCTGTAAAGACTCTGTTTTCAGAAAAGGTCACATGGACAGGTACAGGAGGTTAGGACTTCCTCATATCTTTTTGGCAGACACAATTCAAGCCAAGACACTCGTATTCTCATTTTCCTCCTTACTTGAATTGGCTCATGCAATTATTTTAATCACTTCCTTCTATATGCCCTCAATTCTCCTGTTTCTCTTTTAATTTATTGATCCTCCCAGGAAAACCTCGCCTCAGTTGAATCCACTTTCTGTCTCCTTAGTATTTGCATCCGCACTGTTTTCTTATTTTATTTTAATTTTTTTGCCAATCAGAAAATCTTTATTTTTTTTTTAATATATATTTTATTTCATTTTAGGTTTTGGGGGACATGTGAAGGACATGCAAAGTTGTTGCATAGGTACATACATGGCAGTGTGGTTTGTTGCCTTCCTCCCCATCACCTGTATCTGGCATTTCTCCCCATGTTATCCCTCCTCAACTGTTTGAAATGATTGAAGAACACGTCAGGAACATTCCCGTAGGGCTCATTTTATGTGTATACCCACTAAACTCATGGAGTCATAGAGACATTGCTGGAAGTAATACATTTTAATGACCAAGTCACTTTACCTCTCTCAAATCTTCATTTCTTGCTGCACCCTGATTATTAGCTGATGGTCTTGTCTAGGAAATTCCCTAATGAAACACATATCAGAAGAAGTTTTACAATCTGTCCTCATGACATCTACCCTGCACCCAAATGTGCATTGCTATTAGATGACTTCCTTCTTGTACCTACATATTTCAGAGCCCAAACTTTAGTCTGTGTTCCTTGTATATAATTCTTCTCATCCAGTTCATTTTTCACCAACCTCTAATCAGTTTTTGCCTTCACCATTCCAATGCAAATATTTTCATAACATTAAAGGTATTCACAGTAATAAATGCAGTGATCAATATCCAGACCTCATTTTAATTGGTCTATTAACAGAATTGTATGCCATTCATGTGCCCGTCTCTTAGATGCATTTTATTCACCTGGTTTCACCGACTCCCCTGCTTTTCTTGCTTCAGCACTCATTTGCTCTTAGTCTTCATTGCTGGAGTATTCCGAAGTTCAGTCTGTGGAATATCTTCTTTGCTGTCGATATTTCCTCCCTAATGACCTCATCTGGTGTCATGGCTTCAAATATAATGTATAATATAAGATCTAATGAGGTTAGGGAATATTTTGTAGTCCCAAATTTGAGTTAACAGTTTTTCAGTCTGGAAAAATGCAGAGGCAGGGAGGGGTATGTGTGTATTAGCGCTCTCCACTGACCGAAAAGGTCTAAAAGCAATGATCATCTAAGTAGCAATAAGTGCACCTAGCACCGTTAATAAAGACACCATGGATCCTTGATATGTGACTAATACCAGGTGTAAAGATATAAGATGGCCTGGAATATCTTGTCTTAGAGAAGAGCTGGGATACCATGAAGAGTACATTGTGCCAATAGGATTCAGAAGACAACCTGAACGGGCTGCTGCTAATCAAATACAGGAAAGTTTGAGCATCAGTAGGAATAACTGTAAGGGTTGAAACATATAAAATAATAAAATTTATGAATTAATAATGCTATAAGAACATCACATGGTCACTTTGGAATAATTCTAAATACAACTTAAATATTAATATATTTAAAACTAGTGGTACTTAGGGAGAAATTCTGTGTTTATCCTAGCTTTCCTATTCTATACTTTCATTAGAGTTATTACAGAATAAAGACAAATATCTCTTCATAGGATAATTTTAAATAATAAAAAAGGATGAGAGAATAAGAATTTCATAATTTTCTTTTCTTTCTTAGAGTAATTAATATTTATTTAACTATAATCCAATCTTAAAGTATCCTGAAAGCATTTGATAAGGTTTTGAAGTTAATATCGGTGAAACCTTGGTTCAGTCCAACAAATAGCCTGAAAACAGTGACTGTTCTCCAGAGATGACAAATTTATTTCTAGAACAATTTAATGAAAACAAAATTAAAAATGCAAAATCCTCAAACTCATTCGAGTTGAATGCAAAGGTTAAAAAAATGTAGACATATACTATAATTTTCAATTGCTTTTAGATTGGTAGAGCTCTAACTGGTTTTATTTGCATAGCTTGGTTTGTGTGGCACCATTGAGAAACTGAGAAAGTAGTTATTTATAGGGATGATCCTTAATGGTTCTGAAAAACTCCTGTCAATATAATTAGTTCAGACCCGCTATATATTAAAGCTTTTATAATTCTATATTAAATGCAAGCTGATTGATTTCTAGAACTAAACTATTACATATTTATTTTTACAATTTTTATTTTTATTTTAGATTCAAAGAGTACATGTTCAGATTTTTCACATGGGTACCTTGCGAGACTCTGAGTTTTGGGATGCAAATGATTCCGTCATCCAAGCAGTGAGCATGGTATCCAATAAGTAGTTTTTCAGTCCTTGCCTTTCTCCTCCATCTTCCCCCTCAAGTAGTGTGTCATGTCTATTGTTTCCATTTTTATGCCCATGTGTACCTAATGTTTAAACCCACTTATAAGTGAGCATGTTATAATTTTCAAATCCCTAATTAAGTAATGAATTTAGAGAAAGGTAATCAATGACCAATAATATCACCAAAAAACTGAAGCCATTTTGAACATCCTGATGGAAGTTTAAAGCTTGAAACATCGTCTTTGAAATAGTCCTCCTTTTTACTTCCAAAGAAAATAAACTTATCAAATCTCAGATGAGATTTAAATACCATAAGAAATACACGGAATGGTGGCTCAGGCCTGTAATCCCACCAATTTGGGAAGCCGAGGCAGGTGGATCACGAGGTCAAGAGATCAAGACCATTCCAGTCAACATGGTGAAACCCTATCTCTACTAAAAATACAAAAAATTAGCTGGGCATAGTGGCGTGTGCCTGTAGTCCCAGCACTTTGGGAGGCCGAGGCCGGTGGATCACGAGGTCAAGAGATCGAGACCATCCTGGTCAACATGGTGAA